TGTACACTTAGTTCATTAGAAAAAAGAACCTAATCAACCCCCCTTGTTCACAACTCGCATTTTCGCGTGCATCTTATACACACATACATACATACATACATGAAAAACTATTCTTTTCGCATGTGTGAGCTTAATCTTTTCACAGATGGGTGATTAATGATGGTTCCTTGAATGATTAAAATGAAATTCCAATAATATGTTCAAGATCACTAGAGAATGTCACCACGATTGGAGTGTCGAGGGGACTTGACACATTGGAAGAAAAAAAGGCGGGACGAAATAATTGTGAGGTTTGCCCGTGTGGTGGGGTTACAAAAGAGAGAAATTGGGAGGGATTGTCAAAAGCTTTAACGTCACGTCGGGAAATTTTGGAGGATCTTTTGTGTAGTTGGGAGGAATATGGTCGAATCATTGCTTGCGGTGGCCAATCCTCGTCCTCTTCTCTTGTCTTGTGTTCTGTCGCCCTTCGACCAACCACTATATATATGTTATGATTATATTGCTTACCACGAAATATGTTAAGCCGATCACTTTTTTTTTTTTACAAAATGATTGTAGCATAGGCTCCGTTTATTTCACGGAAATGAGTGCGAAGCACGGTATCTAGTAACCAAGGTACCGATTGGCAAGTCGGTTATCAGAGATTGTGTGAAACACAAACCAACCAGCAGGAGCCGAAGCTCCCTACTCATCACCCCAGGCGTGGATAGCTGCTATACTATCCTACTCGATGGTAGCCAGCCAAAATTAACATGAAATCTTCCTTCCCCACCTGAGGACCCCTAAGTTTTCTCTCTGTATTTTTCCTCCCGGGAGAAAAAGAATACGGAGAAAACTTACAAGGAGATCCTTCACTATACTGGAAAATTCCTTCCCCTGTCTTCCCTTGAGCCTTTGAATTACCTGCTCAGGTCCAACCAATCACTATACATGTTATGATTATATTGCTTACCACGAAATATGTTAAGCCGATGACTTTTTTTTTATACAAAAAGGTTGCAACGTAGGCTCCGTTTGATTCACGGAAATTGTGATTTATAAAATATTTTTCTAAAAATAATCGCTTGTATCGTTTATAAATATAAAAAGAAAAAATTTTCATCGCCCATGAAAATATTTAGACATAAGTTGTCGTTGATAATGAAAAAAATTATTTGACTTATTATTTCAAACAATACAAGCGATCATCTTCAGAAAAATATTTTTTCAAATTATTTATTTTTCGTGAAACAAATGAAGCCGTAATGTGAAAATTTTACTCCATGCGAAGTGATACGAGCATCAATTGACTTGCTGCACCACAGGTACTTGACAAATGTGGTGCAACTAATACGCCCGACACATTTTTTTTCCTTCAAAGTGTGATTACTCGCGTCTGCTATCCTCTTATCCGCGACTTCTATTGACATTCGGGGAATTAGTTGATTCAGATAATTTTCATTTGGCCTGGGTATATATGCATGATTTGATTTCAACTTATCTATGGATTGCGATTATGCTAACGATTGAAAAAAAGAGAGCAATAAATAGAAAAGCTACGATATTGTAAAAATAGCAAGTTCTTAAGATGTGTCGGGCTATCTGTCACTCCTCGTTTTCATCCTTTATTTATTCTTCCTTTTTTCCTTGACGGCAGATGTAATCGGATCTGTCAAAGTTAAATTAAATGGAGGGATTTTGTTAACGGGTGTTCTTGAGTCACTTTTCTAAAAGACTGATGAATGAGAATGAATTTTGTGGCGCAACTTTTGCGGTCGAATCAATATGAGTATGTTGTTGAAGGAGAAGAGGTTTATAATGTCTGGTGGGGTTGAAATGCTTGGCTCTAGGTGGGTTAGCGTCTGCTTGGGTTTGATTAGATCGATGTGATCATTTTTAATGCATGTTTTTCCCGTATGAATTTAAATAAAATGTGTTGAGAATCGAAACCCATTTTTTGGCTCCGTCTCTTTTTCGTGGAAAACATTTATCGGAATTTTTTTTCTTTTTTTCTAGCGTTTGATTCGCTAGGAAAAATGAGTCAACAAAAAAAATAAGTTTAAATTCAGAAAGATGATTTTCTTTTTAAATAATCGAAAAACATTTTTCAAAATATGACTAGATATCAAAACTTGGAGATGGGAACTCCAATGCTAGTTTCCAAGTTCTTGGTGTTCAAGATTAGGTCTTCGGCGCATGGGCCTGGGTCCATTGAGGCTCGGCCTAGTCCCCTGACGCCCATGCCCGGGTCCATTGAGGTCTGGCCAAAAGCCACGGTGCCCGTGCCCAATGCCCCGGTACCCGTGCCCGAGTCCATAAAGGTAGTGCTCGGGTCCCCGACACTCGAGTTTGGGTCCACAAAAGGCCGTGTGTGGGTTCTCGACACTCGGGCTCGGGTGTTTAGTTAATGAAATGTTTGAATATTTTTTTAATAAATTTGAAAAAAAATTTTAAATTTTTTTTATTTTCTTTCTTTTTCCTTTTCCTTCTTCTTTGGCAGCTAGCCACAGGTGAGGGACAAGTTCGGTTCGCTGGAATCTGGCAAGCTCAAGCCTCATCGGCCTTGGGAGAGCTTGTCCCGCACTTGTGATAGGTTGCCAACCGTTGCCGTGGTCGGCGACTGGCTGAGGAGGAAGAAAAAAGAAAAAGAAAAAGAAAAAGAAATTATAAATTTGAATGTTTCGGTAATTTTCCCGAGAAAAATCCATACCAAACTGCGAAAAATATTGTCATTTTCAAGTTTCATCCAAATACTGAAACATATTGTCATTTTCATAGAAAATATTTTTCAGAAACGTCACTTTTCTCGCGAAAAAAACCGAGCCTTTGCCTTTAAATTCCACGTACTTAGGACCGATTCTTTTTTTATTTTTTTTTCCATTTTTTGGAAACATATGAAATTTTAGGGCGCATGGTAACATTTCTGTTCTAGAAATCAATTTCTGGCCAGAAATTGATTTTTCTATTTCTATTCCGTAGACGAGTTTCTGAGGAAAAATGCGTGTTTGATAACGACACAAAATTTCTGTTTCCGAAATAGAAATTCGTTTGATAACGATACAAAATTTCTCCCTTTCGGGCGGCCGGCGAAGGACGGCAGGTGGCGGGGGGAGGGGCAAAGGACGGTGGCCAGCGGTGGGAGGCGGCCGGCCGGCGACTGCGGATGACAGTGGCCGGCGGCGGGAGGCGGTCGGTGACGAGAGGCAATCGGCGCTTGGCGGCAGTCGGCGGCTGCTGCCGGCGGAGGCCGACTTGAGGCGGCCGACGTCGGGCGGTGGAGCATGATGGCCAGCGGTGGAGGACGGCGGCCGGTGGTGGAGGACGGTGGTTGGCGGCAAGAGGCGGTTGGCGGGCGGTGGTCTAAGTAGCACCGACACGCGACACGTTATTTCTCAAAAATACAGAATATCGAGACGTTGCGACACGTTGTATATAAAAAGTAAATTTTTATATATACATGATAAATTAATTTGATTCAAATCCACAAATAAATAAATAATAAGAAAAAAGGATCCTAAAATGAATTTACAGTAAAAACATTAAGCCACCATTTGTTAATATCTATTCAAAACCGGATAATAGAGGCAGCATGTCTTGTAATCTAGACTTCTCAGACTTGCAATCCTCCCTCTGGGGGATCACAACCAGAGGAGGCAGAGGCCTCTTCGAAAAGAAACATACATCTGAAGGTACAAAAAGAAAAGGGGCAAAATGACCGAAACTACACAAAGAGAGCGATCATTACCAACACTGCAAAAGGGGAACGACGTCGGCTGCGACGGTGGTGGTGGGGTAACGAGGAGGCGACATCGGCGGCGGAGGATACCCTCCGGCGAAATATCGCTGGTACCCCTCGAAGGGAGGTTGAGGCGGCGGTGGCACAGGCCCTGGGTAGGCCTCGAGCGGCGGCACCGAAGGGTAATTTGGTGGCGGGTGAGGAGCAGACGGTACCCAGCGAAAAGCGAGATGCAAGAAAACGTTCAAGAAAAGCAATCACGGCGGAGGAAAGGGTCTTGAGGAGCTATGCGGAGGAAAGAAGCTTAGGGCAGACAGAAGTAATCGAGCTTTCTCTGCTTTTCTTTTTACTTTTTTTACTTTTTTTTTTATAAATTTACATTTTGACCCCTAAATTTTTGGAAATTTGTAAAATTAACCCGTGCGTGTTGAAAATCGCGTGTCGGATTCCCGACTCGCGTGTCGCCGGCGTGTCCGGCGCGTTGACCACGTGTCCGAGCGTGTCGGCCGCGTGTCCGAGCTTGTCGGAGCGTGTCGGACACGCGACACGTGTCGGACACCGCTTCTGATGCTCAAATAGCGTGTCGGTGCATCCTAGGCGGTGGTGGCGGGCGGCAGCGATGGGCGGGTTGCGGCCGATGTTGGGCGGTGGCGAACGACGGAGGATGGCGGTGAGAGGAGGCGGTCGTCGAAGGACGACGGCGGTAGGCGGCCGACGGCGGTAGGCGGCCGACGGCGGGAGGCGGCCGACGGTGGCGGGAGGCGGCCGACGGTGGCGGGAGGCGGCCGGTGGCAATAGTGAGTGGTAAAAGGGTGGCTGGCAAGTAGCGAGGGTGAGCGATAAGAAGAATTTTTATTTCTCATTTCTATTCCAGAAATAGAAAAGTAATTTTGTTTTACTTTTGATTTATGTTCCAAACCTATATCTAGAATAGAAATTTGTTCCAGAAATAAAAAAATAAAATTGCGTTACTAAGCGGATTTCTGTTTCAAATCTGTTCCTGGGAACAGAAAAATAAAAAACTAAAAATATAGAAATAATTTTATGCGCACCCTTAGGACGCGCATGGTAACATTTCTATTTCTCTGTTTTTCTATTTTTCTGTTCCCCGGAATAGATTTGGAACAGAAATCCGTTTGGTAACGCAATTTCATTTTTCTATTTCTGGAACAAATTTCTATTCCAGAAAAAGGTTTGGAACAGAAATCAGAAGTAAAAAAATTATGTTTCTATTTTTGGAACAGAAATAAGAAATAAAAACTCTTCTTATCGCTCGCCCTCGCTACTAGTTGGCCATCCCCTTGCCACTCGCTATTGCCGCCTCCCGCCATCGCCGGCCGCCTCTTGCCGTCGGCCGCCTACCGCCGGTGTCCTTCGCCGTTCGCCTCCTCTCACTGCCATCTTCCGCCGTTTGCCGCCACCCAACACCGGCCGCACCCCACCCACCACTGCCTCCCGCGTCCTTCACCACCACCTGTCGGCCAGTTCTTGCCGCCGCCTGCCTCCCGGCCACCATCCACCGTCGGCCGCCTCTTGCCGCCGACCACTGTCCTTCGTTGCCCGACACCAGCCGCCGTCCTCCGCCGCTGGCTGTCGTGTTCCACTGGCCGCCGTCCTCCGCTACCGGCTGTCGTGCTCCACCGCCCGACGCCGACCGCCACCCAGCGCCGGCCTCCCTCCGCCGTCGGTCGCCTCCTACCCCTTGGGTGGCTGGCGGCCACCCACCACCGACTGCCATCCTCCGCCGCCAGCCGTCGTGCTCCACCGCCCGACGCTAGCTGCCCTCCGCCGCTGGCCGCCGTGCTCCACCGCCTGACGTTGGCCACCGTGCTCCACCGCTTGACGCCGGCCACCGCCCGAGGCCGATCTCCTCCTGCCGCCGGCTGCCATCATCCACCGCCACCGGCCGACCACCTCCCACCGCCGACCACCGTCCTCCGCCCCCCACCGCCACTCGCCGTCCTCCGCCGGCCGCCCGGAACGGAGAAATTTTGTATCGTTATCAAACGAAATTCTATTTCAGAAATAGAAATTTTGTGTCGTTATCAAACACGCATTTTTTCTCAGAAACTCGTCCACGAAATAGAAATAGAAAAATCTATTTCTGGTCTGAAATTGATTTCTGAAACAGAAATGTTACCGTGCGCGCCCTTAATATCGGCTGGGTCCACACATTCGTCTTCCCACCAAGAGACGATGCCATTAAAAACCCCACCCTCGTTTTTCTATTATTAGGTTAAGAGCGTACGAGAGCACCAACTCTCTCTCTCTCCTCTCCTCTCCTCTCCTCTCCTCTCCCTCGGTGATGATTTACAATTTGACAAAGATGGGACGTGGGAGCTGCTTTGCAAATTGCGAAAAATTGGTAGTGGGAATTTCTGTGCCCCCAAGAAATAGATCACTGTTCACTGCGCCGCACCTCTTCTTGCTGCACCGTGAAATTGATATCTCCACCATCTTTTTATTGCTTCGAATAACGTGAGATTAAAAAAAATAAATAACACGGCGAGATTCTAATTAGAATAATATTACGAAAAATTTTAAATTGATTCACGTAAATTAATTTTTTTACCTCAAAAAATCTCTAATTATATACATACGATAAATTTATCCCAAATTAATTTTCGATTACCAAAAAGCCCCGAACTAATATATTTGTGACAAATTTACCCTCCATCAGTTTCTGTTAATTTGGATTAATACTACGAAATATCATAAATCGGTACACCCCCAAATTGATACACCCGTCAATTGTCACGTGTCATTTAACTCAATAATTTGACGATAAAATTTAACAGAAACTAATAGAGGATAAAATTTTTCGTGATATTAATCTATTCTAATTATGTAGTTTATTTATGAGTTATTCGTGAAATATTTTCTTATAGTTTGCCACATCACTATATATATATAGATATTTTAGATCGATCTTTCGATCCAGGACACTTTTCTTTTTTGTGCTTTGTGTTTTTTTTTATAACACTATTCTATATAATTTCCTTCTCTCTTTGCTTTTTATTATTATTTATTTTTTTGGGTTTTGCTCTCTTGTTAGCCTTTTCTCTACCACCGGAGCATTAGACTTAGAGCTCCTGCCGGTGGAAAGTTGTTCCGGATCTTCCCTTTGTCAAACCATACGATATCCCAGCCTTTTCATGTGTTTGACCTTGCGATTTTTAGGGTTCCTTGGTCATTGGTTCCTGATTTTTGACCCATTCAAAGCCAATCTTTCAAACCTTACATCATAAACCATGTGGCCATGCCTTTTTTGACTTACAAGGGGCTGCCAAATCCATCGGAATAATTAACAAACAAAAATTATCAATCTCTTGAACAGATGTTGATTAGGTTCTAAACTTTTTTAATTAGGCAAATTTAGTCTTCAACCTTTTTATAATTTGCTAATATAGTCCTTCCGACCAATTCAGCCATAAAACTTTCAATTTGGCTCGAGACTCGCTGCCCATGTTGGAAAAAATGAAAAGAAAAAAAAATATAATTGAAAAATTCATAGGTTTCTTTAAAAATTTGCAAAAATTGTTCATATGAGCACTGGCTGTGCAATGTAGGACGGTTAGTATTCACATTCGTGATTTCCGACCAAAATTGGTCGGAAGGACTTAGGACTAAATTTGCATTTATTTGATAAGTTTATAATTTTTTTGGTAATTTTCCCAAATCCATCCATTACCAATTTTCAGCGAAATATACCAATTTCAAACATAATAAGTACCCAGGAGTTTGAGATGTTCTTGGATTTCATTGTATATGCCAACATATATAGTAAAGCAGTATTCTTATTTTTGGAATCATAATCGCTTCCCTTCCCAAATTTGCGCTTAATTATATCGTTTTATTGAATATAGGGGTAAGGTTTTCTTTATGGCACTAACCGCTTTTTATTTCCTTGTCGACATAATTTTTTTTTTGTTTGTCATGTCGACATAAATTACTCGTTGCTTTTCTAGACAACCCAATTCAAAAAGGCATTCGAGTGCAAAATTTTGCGCATGAATAAGGACTGCTAGGTTAAAGACGCCGAGGGCTTCGATTTGAATTATTGGCGTCGAAATGTTTTCACCGAACGATCGTACTAGAAACAGTGCGATGTTTACGTGTATTGTAATCTTCGGAATATCGCCTGTCATCATTGAACAGACGAATTGCGACCACAGGACTCGCATCCATCGCTGTATAGAAACAGTTCCACTAGATCGCAAATGTCTCGTGGAAATCCACTTTGATGTAACTCGAAATTAATTTAATAAATCACAGTTTCCTCTTTTTCTTACCCAAAAGAGGACCCGAAAGAGAAAAGAAGTCCCACTTCAAAAATTTGCCTGAGACCGCACTTTCTGTGCCACGATAATTAAGTGCTTGAATAAATTCCCTTATCTTGAAAGAAACAGCTAAACCACAAATGGATAACATCATTGAATTTATCGAGGACCCGACCCCGTGTGTGCGTGTGTGTGTGTTCTTTCTCAGTATTGGCTTGCCTGCGCACAACGTCTTCTACAAGCACATAACTTTTGACTAGTGCTAGAGATACCAAAATCGATTTAATCGATATAAGAAGCGAAAAGATGGACTTCGACCGTCGCGGGTATGGCTTGTTCAAATCTACGCCGCCTCGAAACTATGCCGACGCATACGAGGCCGGCGTACCTTTTTCAGAAGAGGAAAATGCGAGGCGAAAATCTCCCGCGGGATTAGGGAAAAGTACCAAATAAGTCACAAATCTATTGTATTTGTACCAATTCAATCCTAAACTTTTTCACATTAGTACCAATTCAATCTATCCGGTCAATTTATTTCAGAAATCGCTGACATAGACACCAGCTATCCTACATATTTTAATAATTTTTTTGAATTTTTTTCTTTTGTTTTCCTTTCCCTTGGTGCTAGTGGCCAGTCGTCGACCATCGGCCTGAGGCCATGGTTGGCGAGGACTGGCCTTGCCTGGGTGAGGGCGAGCTTCGGCAAGGCCCCCCTCACCAAATCTAGTGAGCCCCGCTTGGGTGATGGCAAGCCTCGCCATGGCCTGGGTGAGGGTCGGGCTCTCGTCAAGGAGGCCGACCCTCGCCCTTGCCCAAGCAAGGCCAACCCTCGTTGGCCATGGCTTGTGGCCGGCCACCGGCACTAGCAAAAAGAAAAAGGAAAAGGAAAAAAAGTAAAAAATTGTTAAAAATTATCAAAATATGTAGGACTGCCGACGTCTACGTCATCGATTTCCGGCCTAAATTGACCGGATAGATTGAATTGGTATCAATGTGAAAAAGTTTATGACTAAATTGATCCAATTAAAAAGTTTGCGATTGAATTTGTACCAAAAGCAATATGTTTAAGACTTTTTGTTTAAGCTTTTCCCTCATAAATTGGGTCAATATGATCATGGCCCTCCTCCTCATTCCCATTGGTGCTTTCTTCCACAAGAACAATCGAGTGCGTCGGCATTTATTTCTTGACTTCCTATGGTTGGTGACCTAATCGACTCGTACCCAAGCTTTGTTGGACAATTACATAAATCGGTGTCAAGCAAAGCATTAAGCGTCTCCATATGACTTGTCCAAATCCCAAAATCCGTGGTCGTGACTTCGCGCACAGCACCGTCCCAATAGAAAACGCGAGGCACCCACTAACGCACCGTCGTTTTTGCCAGCCACGGATCCATCATTTAAGAGAGATTAATGCACTGTCACACCAATACCAACTCGAACAGTCGAGCCTTATATCATGGACGACGCGGTGCGATGGTTCCCATTAGGTCCATGAAGAAACATCGTCAGCCATCAGTTCTACACGAAAAGGAATCAGTTTTGGTAAATTGGTGATTTCCAGATGACTCATATCTTGGTGGAATACCTGCTAATGTGATCTAGCTGATGTGCATCCTATTGTTCTGATCCGCATATATGTCATGTTGTGGATAAAACCATATTGCGGAATCCGAAAATTCCCTACCCATGGTGAATATAATAGAATGCCCTTATCGGTAAAGCGAGCACGTAGAATTGCATTTCGAATGTGTTAAAAGGGTTTCTCTTCTTTTGTAAGTTAGAAGAGAGCTATTGACTCTCCTAGAACTTGCGCATTCTCCGAACAACGCGATCAATTTTGATATCCGAGACAAAAATAAAGGGAGGTCCATATGCTTAATACATTAATCGGTTGAATGCTCAATACGATAGATATGTCTCCACTCGACATATATTATTTAGTAAAGAAAGCGCCTACAATATTAAATAGACATATGCATGTTAAGATGAAATAAGTATTTTATACCGGACATTTGGCTCTTGCCTTACTTGGTTTATGAGGTCGACATCGGCAGGGTATTTCATCGATTTAGAGTCCACCTATCTAAGATTATCTTCGTTTTTTTTCATTATAAAGATGAATAAACAAATAAATACTCCAAAAGTCCCCGAAATATGATGGAAGTTTGCGGGGCACATAGGTCAGTCAATGACAGGGACCAAACGATGTCTTCCTATATAATCACAGATACCTCAAAACCAAGAAGAAAGGGATCTTCTGTTGCTGTCAAAAACATTCTCTGCAGATATGAGCAATCGCTTTCGCCTCTGTCCTCCTCCTCTTCTTCTTCTTCTCTGTCTGCTCTTCCTTCTGTTGGCTCCCCGAATGACTCAGGCCGCCGGAAGGAGCTTATCTGTCTCTTCATCGTCGTCGTTGCCATCATCGAAAGAACAACCTTTTGATTCCAACATGAACATGGTGGGCACGGTCGCTCCTCCACTCGACGAAGGCCAAACCGGAGACTTCGTGACAGCCGAGAAGCGAAGGGTTCCGACCGGATCGAACCCGCTCCACAACAAGAGATTGCTTTGAGTGAAAACCAGCTACTACAGATGGTTTGAAGGAGAACCCTTTTTCATTTTCTCTTCATTTTTTTTGAAATGTTATTTCGGATTCCGGTTACTGTCTCCATAGCAGATGTGAATAGGATTATTGATATGCTTCTGAATTTTTAGGGTTCATATCTTGTTAAAGTAGTTTGGAACAAGCAGGGGTATGCAGGCTGCAGCTATGCTGAAGCAATGCTTATGGTGAAAGAGCTCCAATGTAAGATGCGTTTCTCTGGCATGTTCATATGTTAATTAAAGCGAGCGACAAGTAAAACCAGATTAGCTCCAATCATGTTTTATCACGTTGTGTTAGCATGCACGTTGGTAATTGGGTCAAGTAGGTTTCCACAAACAATCCAATTTTAGTTTGAGCTCTTACATCAATTCCCTTCGTGTTTTGTCATGAGGAATTGATGTTCTCTGGTGCTCTATTTGGAAAATTAAAGAAAGGGAGATCATTGGAAAATTGAAGAGAAATTCTTAAGATTTAGTATTTTTCTTATCTGATATTTTGATTTTCATTTAGTTCGAAAACGGCATTAATTCTTTTATTTTTTATCATCTGAATCAATTTACGAGATAAAATACTATGAAACTATGAGGACCGTTTTCCTCGTTGATGCAACCTTGCTTCTCCGATCCTTTTTTACATCGGGTGTGAATGGAAATTCTCTGGACTCTTTTTAGGGTCGTTGGTGGTCTAAGAAACAACTTCATTAGACGATTAACTCGTGGAAGAGTTCGATTACACAACTAAGTTCAAACACATATATCACTCATCCATCAATGATTGTGCAAAAACCCAAATTCTTCTTCATTTTTCTTTTGGAATAAACTACTGATTGCCTCAAATTCTTTGTCAATTATTCCAATTGATAAATCTCTAACCAGAAGTCGCCTTCTCCTTTTCATGGTGAAACGAGATTGCTTTCTTCTTGTATGGATATCAAATATCTCCACTTGAATTTGAAGAGGCTGACATTCACAAAACCCTCACCTGTACAAATGAGGTACGTAAAAGCTCAATAGAATCAACATACCCTAAAATTTATGCGGTCTAATCGAAAGTGACCCACATCTACAAGAAAGAATGACAAAGGTTCCAGGCGAATTTCCTCACTTTATATCATGTCTATTTTTTTTTATTTTTTTTTGATGGCCCAGGAAACCCCTGCACGGCCGACAGCCGGGAGGTAAACCCTGGGGGCGACACGTGCTAGCCACCACACACGTGCACCGGTTAAGTCACCCTGCGGCACCCGGGATTCGAACACTCAACCTTTTGCGAGAGGAAGAGTGCGCGATCCAGCAGCGCCACCCAGGCGGGTGGTAAATATCATGTCTATTTTCTTACGGTGTTTTATTTTCTTACGGTGTTTTCCCTAAAAAAAAAAAAACTCACCAAGAGATCTTTAAAATACTCTCTGAGAGGCAAAGTATGTAAACTTGACTTAAGAACACAAATTTCGGGGAGTTCGCATCTTCAGATGAGTCTGGAGCACCCTCTATCTAATAGGTGCAGTGCTCCACTTGGTGTAGCCAGGCCCCTGACCTTCCTATGTGGTGCGTGCCCACTCAACAATAAAAATATGTATCGTGACATTTTTTCGAATATGGATAAAGAGAGTTTCACAGCCAAGACTTAAATTTAGCGAATTTCATTAGTGTGGTCATTTATCTCCTACAAATTGATGCATGCCACTAGCAAGTAGCATCTCTCCTTTCCTTTCACTGTTGAGATGATTGGCCCGAGTTTTTTTTTTTGGTAGAAATTTTTTGCCCGAGTTTATTAAGGCTTTACTTGTACATTATTGAGGCCTTCGTTGATCACAAGTTCGAGCATTCCGGTCATCTCTCTATCTCAAGAAATCCAAATTCATCGATACCTTGGTTCGGCTTGAGTTAGGCGCAACATAGTTCGGATTTTTACCCTGATTCACATTCGATAGTACAACGATGGTAACCTTATATGAGCAATAGCTGTAGCTCAAATCTAACATTTCGATAACAAATTATGGGGTGAAGAACACTAGAAGTGCCAAAACTTGTGTACGGCGCTCATTTTAGTGCCAAAAGTTTGTTTCGGATCACTTAAGTGCCACTTTTTGAAAAAACGATCACTTAAGTGCCAACTTCGATTTGGGTCGACGAAAATCTGACGTAGCCATATTTTATTAATTTCTCAGTCCTACGTGGCACGTCGGCGCTGACGAGGACAATATTTAATAATATTTTAAAAAAAATTTCTGATTTTTCCTTTTTTCTTTTTTTCTTTTTTTTCTTCTTCTTCTTCGTTTGGTCGGTGACCGGACACCGGCCACCGGCCATGGCCGGCCGCCTGGCCTCGCCCGGACGAGGCCGCCGTCGCCCGTCAAGGGCGAGCAAGGCCGGCCCTCGCCTCGCCGGGGCTCGCCCTTGCCCGGGCGGCGAGGCCGGCCTCACCCGAGCCACGGCGGCCTCGCGGCGTCGCCCGGGAAGGCGACCCCGGCGAGGCTCGAGCGAGGGCCGGCCTCGCTTCCCGGGGCTCGCCCTTGCCCAAGCAAGGCGAGGGCGCCCTCGCCCAGCCACGGCGGCCTCGCCGGGCGTCGCTTGGGGAAGGCGACCCCGGCGAGGCCGCCGTGGCTGGGCGAGGCCGGCCTCGCCTCGCCGGGGCTCGCCCTTGCCCGGGCGAGGCGAGGCCGACCCTTGCCCGCCCTTGCCCAGGCGAGGGCCGGCCTTGCCTCGCCCATGGCGGGCGACGACGGCCTCGTCCGGGCAAGGCTAGGCGGCCGGCCATGGCTGGTGGCCTGTGTCTAGTCACCGGCCAAACGAAGAAGAAGAAGAAGGAAAAAAAGAAAAAAAGAAAAGAAGGAAAAAAAATCAAAAAAAAATTAAAAATTCGAAATTTACACTTGAAAATGCCACGTATGACTGAGAAATTCGAAATATACACGTGGAAATGCCACGTAGATTAAAATTTTAATTAAAAGAGCCACGTATTAATTTGGCCGGAATTTCTCGTCGTTGGCACTTAAGTGATCGTTTTTCTCCGATTTTGGCACTTAAGTGATCCGAAACAAACTTTTGGCACTAAAGTGAGCGTCGTACACAAGTTTTGGCACTTCCAGTGTTCTTCATCCCAAATTATGGAAGTCCGCGAAGAATGCTTTGATCTCACCGGGCCCACCGAAGCCTCGGGTCCTTGGTTGTGGTTAAGGGTTACCTCACTAAAGGAAGGGAGCCGAAGCTTAGATAGGAGCCTCCGTTACTTGTTCGTTTGCATTATAGTGACGGTGGATTCCATTGATGCATTTTTTATTTTAATGTGTCGGTACCCGTAAGCCCTGCATCCCTAAGTTCCCCCTTTATCTTTGTTTTCTTTAGAAATAGGGAATACCCTCTAAAAATTTTACATCCTAATTATCTCGAAATCCGAATGAGAACCAAAAATGACTTTTTCAAAACTCTGCTCAGTTCTGATCTTACTGAAGGGACCCTCCAGCCACAATCTTTTTCAAGGCACGTGAGAGGGGTCCATAAGAGCATGTCTGGGGCTCAACGTATGGGGATGCCGGGGTCCGTAAGAGGCTTAGAAGGAACCTTTTACTGTCATGCTCGGGATCAGTTCCCTTGGTATATAGACAAAAAAACAGAGAAAACAGAAAACAGAGCATGTCTCCTTCCATGTTGGAACTAATAAGAAAAATAAATAACTAAATAAAAGATTAAAAAAATGAGAGAGAGAGAGATTAAGGTGCAATCTCTTCTTGAGGTGCAAGAAAATGGAGCAACCCTGGCCCAGCCACATTCGTATACAAACACGGCCCCATCAACGAACTCAAGACAAGGGCGCTTCCTTTCACCTCCCAAAATCCAGAGAATCGTCGCCGTCGCCATCATCGTCGTCGTCGACAGGGTACGAACGAAGCGATGAGTTTTCTGGCGGCAAGATTGGCCGGGAAGGAGGGAGCCTACTTCTTCGAGGAGTCCAAGCACGCCGTCAACCGCCTCGCCCAGAAAGCCCAGCCCTTGAACAAGAACGCCGCCGCCGCCGGCAACGGCAATTCGGTCTCGCGCGAGGCTGAGGCCGACGTGTTGCCCGAGGTTCTGAGGCACTCGCTGCCCTCCAGGCTCTACTCGCAGCGCTCCGACCCTTCTTCTTCTTCTTCCTCCTCCTCTCTCGCCAAGGCCTCCAAATGGGCTCTCCGATCGGACCCCGCGTCCGGCTCGGCCGTTTCGTCCGACGCGCTGAACCCTCTCAGGGCTCACCTGGCCATGCCCCGGGTCACCTTCGGTCCCAACAGGTCGTTGCTTTCTCTTAGTTTGCCTCGGTGAATTTACGTGTTTTTTCGGTGATGGAATGATGTGTTACGATCGAAGAGGTGGTGTGCATTGAATCGCTCTTCTTTTTTTTGCCTCTGGGTTAAGCTTAACTTGAGGCGAAGTGTGAAATTAAGAGTAGTTGTTTCGGAAGATTTCGGTAGTCGAAATGGCTAAATGAGATTGATGTCTCTGGCCTTAACTTCTCTTGTTCCTGCCTTAATCCGCTGAAAGTTTTCTTTTTTAAGCGAAATTAATGGACTTACGGATTGAATGTGGATGAGGGGCAGGATGTCTTCTTATGCTACATGTTAAAACAAAATTGTTGGACGTTTTGCCTGAAGTTATAACGTGATGGTTCATCGCAATGGTGGCATTGATCCCCACAGTTTGGTCGGAGATACCCACAGCTAAAGTTTAACGCGAGTTGGTGCTTGCGGATGGTTGAAATGAAAATGCAGTAGAAGCTCATCCATTGTTGCGATTGGGCGCAGAAAGGGTGCTAATTTTCCTCTGCTCATGCTTGATTTTCTCGAATGTACTTGTGTCTGCCCCTGTATGCGGTATTGTTGGTCATAGCTCTTGGAGGATCGATAGGTATTGGTGGTCGTGCATGTCAAAACCTTGATAGGAATTGGCGCGGCATTAACACTACATGAAATTATGTGAGGAAGTCGAAACTCATCCGTCACAGTTGGCAGTGGCGAAAAGTTTTTCAATGATGCGTTGCTGATAGATTGGTATTCAACTGATTGTAGGTGGAAGATGCCTCCTGCAGGGAGCTCGGTTTTAGCATCAACAGCCAACGAGCTGCGACAAGATAGATATACACATGCGAACCCTGAAAAGTTGAAGGCTGCAGCTGATGGCCTTGCAAATGGTGGGCCCATTACTTCTTAGACCTTTCACACTGAGAAATAATGTGTTTGTATCCAATTTTTCCTTTTACCTGACCTTAGGTATGGTAAATGTTCCTATGATGTTGATAGGAAGTTACAAAATGCTTCACATATCACTTGAACACTCTACTGAAGAATCATTAGCCAAACTAAGCTAAAGTATCACTTTTGAAAGGAAAGATGTCTCCTATGCTATGTGAAAGTGATTTCACGCACTTCTAGTCTGCCACTTGTGCAGCCAGCATGAGCAAAATAGAAGTTTTCTAATTTGTCTTTGGACATGTGGATCCTGTTAAAGTGTTAATGCACAAGATAAACTTATTCGTTTGATCAGCAGAATCAAGTAAGCTGTATTAAAATACTCTTTTAACTGTTGAGTTTATTGTCAAATTAGTCTGAACGTTATAATTGAGCTCTGTAATCTCTGTGGCACAACTTCTTGTTTTTGGGTTCTGAAATTCTTCTTGGCTCTCACACTACTACATCTGTCTCCCTGTCCTTGTAGTTGGGAAGGCATTTGCTGCGGCCACTGTCATTGTCTTCGGTGGTGCATCCATAATATTTGGACTGGTAGCCTCCAAGTTACAGGTTCAAAATGTATGTCCTTTTCTGATTCCATGTTTTCCCTTTCCAGAACATTCCAAATATTCTAATAGACATGAAGACTGATATATTAATTACTTGCTGTCTTCGAACTATTGATACATTGTTATGGAAGCAAAGAAAGAAAATCTCAACCTGTTACTATTGGTTTTTTCACATTCTGATCACTTGTTATTGTAATAATTTTCATACCTTTCTTCTCTGAAATTACACTATGGATCTAATTTTTGGTAATTCCTGTGGTCCATGTATTGAAAGGGTGGAGATATCTATGTTAAGGTGAGAGACTTGGCTCAGCCAACATACGGGACGGTGAGAGAGCAAGTGGCCCCTTTAAGGACCTGGGTATGTCATGTCCAACCAGAAATCTATAGATGTTCTGTTCTCCGTTTTGTTCTGTTCTTGTGTCTCTTGCATGCTTTGATAGCTGTTGTTGGTTCTCTTGTAGGCCGAGAACATGTCAAGAAAATGGCGTATAGAAAGGGAGGACGACATCAAGCAAAAGCCAATAATGAAGGAGCTTTCAAGAACGTTTGGGATAAGGACTTCAAATTGATTTGTACAGTGTGATTCCTTGTATAACAAATAGGAAAAGCTGCTAGCGTAGATCGTCATCTCTGGTGAATAAAGGATTTTCATTTTGTTCCGATATTTTCGTCATGTTGTTCAAGATATGACTGGATCACTTGTAATGAAAAAGTGTACTTGATGGAGAATAAAATGGCAAAGCCGACTCTGTGTGACGCTTCGTTAAGTATTCGTCGTTCATTTGTTAATTCCAGTGAATTTCTACCTGTATTAACTACTTTGAAAATTTAGACAGACGACTGATCCATAATCAGCCGAAGCTTACTCCTAGTTTTATTTTGAAGAAATTCAAGGAGATTTGCTATGGTTAGGTTTCTGTTTCTAAATATCCTGCTAGGATTTTGTTAGCTGTGTTAGCTTTCTCGTGTAACTTGCCTTGCCTCCAATTCAAAAAGAAGCAGATGTTATATCGACATACATGGCTATTTAGATATATGTGGTAATCAACAGTTTCTATGATGTTTAACAACTATCCACGAGTGCTGAGCAATCGCAAACTTTTAGCTAGTGACTACCTTCCACGGCCACTAACTTGGATAGGTGGATGTGCACTTGACCTATGTGCGAATGGTGGAAAAGATTGGAGTTGAGTGTTAGCAGGGAAATCCTCCTGCTAGCATTTCCAACAATTCCTCCACTAAAATGGGCAATTACAAAGAATAAGATACATTTATTGAAGTGCCACCAAGTTCTCTGCAGCACTTAACCCCAGTATGTTCAGCAACCCATTTGACGAAGATCTCGTCCTGCAGCTATCCGTCCTCATAGCTCATAGTCTAAACCAGATCCATATCTCCAAGCTTCTAAATGCCGCTTCCACTCGTACTTCATCTTAGCAGGGAAAGTATTGATCAAGGGCCTTCACAATCGCACAACCAGCTAATTCAAAGTGTAAAATATGAAACCAAATGCAACTTCAGCTATTTCTAGGCTTCTAGCTAATAGACGTACACGGCAAGAGATTTTTTCTGCCAGGTAATAAATTCTAGCTTTGGGTTCAATCTGAAGATGGAACTCAACCATGGTCTAGATAGAAGCGACCTACCTAATTGCAGGGTCAACAAATGTAGAAAGGAACGTGTAATAGCCCAACATGAAGAAGTGTCCAAACCAGTCAAGAAGCACGGGAACTCCAACCTGACATCGAGTCAAAGCAATTATACCAATATCAGCTGAGCTACTTGATAATTGAAACTCATTCTCTACCGAAAGACTGCATTTTAATAAGATCAAACCATGAAAACAGACAAAATGGGGAGGCATAAAATATTTGGTTTCCCCTAAAATCATCTCTAAGCCACTTGTCATTTGTATATGCCTGCTGTGCATACGACATGTCCATAAATGGAGTAGCAGAACCAAGTTGCGGGTATTGCAACAATAAGATGTCAAATGTCTCCCGTGTAGACGATCTCATGAAAATGCACTATTATTCCCACTTCCAATGAGTTTTTTTTTATACGAGACTTGCAATACCTGGTGCTTCTGATGGGAAACCATTATGAAAGGAAATGCATTATCAGCCTAACCTTTCGTTCACGATTAGATAAATTGTATAAGCTCAATACATTACACAAGATAGCCAATCATAATTATGCATTTGAGAGGCTGAATTGCCTGTTGCTGCTTGTATGAAGGTCGAACAATAGTTAACTGACTTAAAGAACTTCTCCATAAGAGAGGGTAAGATTAAAGAAACTTGGAACTAATTACCTGACGAAATATAGATGGAATTATAAGTGGCTTAGTTACCATGACAAGACCTAAAGTCTTGGCGAGAGGCCAAAATTGTACAACGTCCTGTCATTTAGAGCATATCAATATTTTAGTAAGCTGTAGCTTACAAACATAAATATCAGCCAAATAATCCAGTCTGCTGATGCAATATGGGCAAAAGAAATAAGCTAGGAGATAAGCAAAAACCTGAAGGAATGGTCTCAGCACTGGATCCCCCAATCTCTGTAAAAGAAAGAAAGATTATTCATACACAACAAAACAGCAGGAGTACATAACATGATAACAGGTCCAGCCAGAAGGAATACTCTTGCAATTTGTTCCACAGTAATTAAAGCATACCTGCATACTCTGGAAATTGACGTAAAGAAGCTCATTAATAAATTCCGGTGAAACATTTGCCTGTTGCTTAGCTGACATAGCTCTTTGAAACAACCATGAAGTACTGAGGTTGGGCTGTGCTACAAAAATCTTTTTCTTAGATAATCTCCAAGTGGATGTAATAATCATGCAGCTGAAAAGAACAGCAAGTCACTCACCATGTATGGGTTCAACAAGGACAACTCATTTGAGCTGAGAAAATTGCCACTGATTGCTTCGTATATTCCTTAAACAGGCCAAAAGAAAAAACACAATATTTAACATGTTATTGTCAGATCATCTGTATCATGTTCTTTCCATAATAGTATTTGTGCAATTAATTTTGTTTTCATCTGTCATTTAGGCTGCAGAGGAAAGAGAATATGATGCTATCAAGTAATCAACTTATGCCACCCACCATCAGTAATCAAGGAAGAGTCTTCTGCTACTAAGACGCGAGTTATATCATAAAAATTTTCCAGCAAAAAGCCCCCAGTGCTATTAACATTATGAACTGGAAGTAAGGAGGAGAAAAATATGTTACTGTAACTCTACCATCTGACAATCTGCCAAGGTGCCTAGTCAAGCTTCCAAAGCCTCCAAATGAAACAGGTGATTGTATGCCGCTAGCATCACCAAACTGCAGACAAGCTGATAGTGTCATGATACTTGCTTTCCATGTAAACAAAAGAAGAGAAGGTTTTAAATCTGAAAATTCAAATGACCTGTAAAATGCGATTGAAAGCAGCTGGCAATGGACTGTCAGGTTAATCATCCCATTTCAGGAGAACAAAAAGGAGTGAGAACCAACACAGAGAACACTTTAAACTTAATGCAAGCAGCTTTTTCAACCAAAAAAGTAAGAAAATAAATCTGAAATTGGAGTTAATGTCAAATCTCAAGTTCTCTTGTTACTCTAGCAAAAGGGTTTAGGTGTAATGAGTGATTGACTCCTGCATAAAAAAATATGAAGCTCCCAAAGAGCCTGCTTATATACATGCAACCCACAATTAATCGTGCCTGTGAAAATCTAGGAGAAATCGATCTTTCATTTTGTGAACATTGTAGGATCAAAAGAGAGAGGAAGAGAGAAATACCTAACTGACTACATCTTTACTCAATAGACTTCAATCAAAATTACACAAGACCTCTCTGCGTAGAGACAATCAGAAACTCTAACAACCTTAGTTTTAATTCATGATGCTAGAAAATGCACTTCAACCCATTTAAACACCAATAACACGACAAGAAAATTCATTTGATTTTATTAGGCACGTCCTCCATGACCAAAAAGCAGACAACCTAACTTCTCAAGCTTTGGAGACTTCATGGCAAAGCACTAGTCACAATTTTGCCATCGTCGATACTACTTTACAAACTCATTAATCCTGATTTATAAGAAAGCACTACTTAAAAAGTGCCACCATTACCTTCCACGATAAGTAGGGAAAATGCCATAAACAACTCTCAATATTTCTAGGTCATCCAAAGAGACTTCCTGCAAACAGTGGCAGAGAGGAATCATTTGTCTCTCTAATTAGGATGCTGACAACATTGATTATATCGTGAATGAATTATCAAGCAGGATGCATGTCAAGCTCAAGTAGCACATAAATGAAATAATAAATCTGTAATAACTCAACGCAATGCACTGTGTTATGGAAAAACAAACTCATGTCATTGGAAGGATGATAAACTGGTACAAGAATTAGACCAATCGACGGGATGCAATTAAAAGAGCATTCTGCACAAGCAATCTATCTGTGGGTTTCCTACAGTATCATCGATAATTGACAAAGTTTTCTTTAACTTTCATTAGAAACAATCTAATGAGTTGACAAGAATAATTACTTGCACCAATACCAAGATAGAAAAAAAAAACTGTTGATAACTGGATAGTGAAAACTGGAGGTACAAATTGCACTCTCTCTCTCTCTCCACCCAACCACTCGCAAGGACAGATTGATTAGGAGAAATCAAGGTCTGCAAGAAATTCAAACATAATAAATAAATAGTATATAATAGCAATTAAAGAACGAGCCAGAGAAAAGTTCAGTCTGTTAAATTTGCACAAATCGCCGTGTAAAAATAATTCGACATAAGATAGTGATCATAGAATAAGCACAAAGTTATTGAACACAGAATTAGCGCAAGGACATTGAACAAAGCAACGGAGGCTACTCCTTTGTAGGAAGACAAATATCAACCTGATATTTGGGCATTAAATCCCAGTACTCTTCTAGTAATTCTTCCAGTGCTGGGCAACCCGGCTGAGGATTGACATAAGTGAACATATAAGTGGTACGATCCTCGGGACCTGAGCCAGAGGGAAATGCCTGTTTGATGGTTAGAGAAAGCTGAATACACAATTGGAAGTATCTTCAGATAAGTTCTATCAGTAATATGCTCGACCCACCTCCCAGAATAGATGTACTTTTGAGTCTCCAATCTGCTTCACTGATGAGCTAGTGTATATGACATCACTAGTGGAGTTGCTCCTAAAACCACGAGCACAAGATCCAACAACAAGGCAAACACCATCTGGCTTTAATCCCCGTCTTATCTGTAAATAAGGAAGTTTGAAGACCACGTAATGTGTGCACGAAAGGAAACTACATCACATGAGATGTTTAGTTGTGAAGATCAATTTTTAATTGTTAGAATTTGAAAAGAAGAAGAAGAAGATTACTTCGTTCTGAAATTTCTTTCTTGGGTTAATTTGTCAGTTCACTCGTACCGTCATACAGGAGTCAACCAAGATGAAGTTAAACCCTATTAGCGCCTCTGTAAATAAATGAATTTTTTTTTTACCAAAAAAAAAAAATGTAGTCATGGCCACGGGCCGGTTTTGGCCTGGAACCGGCCCGGTCAAACCCGGGCCCCGCCCGTTGACCGGGCCCGCGGTTCGGAACCGGAACCAGCCCGTGGCCTAGTTCCGGTTCCAAATATTTTTTAAAAAGAAAAAATAATGATGAAATTTTTTTTAAATTTTTTTTATTATTTAATTTTTTTTTATAAAACAAATTGAACTCTAATTGCCATGCATTGTAAGTGCATTGATCTCCAATTGCAATGCTTGGCTTGGGTGTATTGATCTCTAATTACAAGGGTTGGCTTGGGTTTTATAAACAACCCCTTTGATGGTCTCTTCATTCCCATTCGATGTGGAACTCTCGATTTGCCTTGAACTCCTTCAATATGAGACTCTTGGCTTGTCTTCATGCAAATGCCAAGAGTCCCACATCAAATGGGAATGAAGAAACCATCAAAGGGGTTGTTTATAAAATCCAAGCCAAGCCATGAGCATGTGAAGTTGTATGCCTTTTGTGGCTACGATCCTTTGCTAGTTAAGAGCAAAGGGTTCCATTGGACCGCCTAGAACCGGACCAATGGTCCGGTTCCCGGTTCTATGGTTTGCCGATCCGGTTCCTAGTTCTAAAATTAAAAGACTGATCTTACCGGTTCGGTTCCCGGTTCCGACCGGGAACCGATCACCCCTACAATTTTCATTTTTATTATAATTTATATTGAATAATTCATTATTTCATATTTTTATAATTATTTATTTTTTTTATTTCATAATTTATTTTTTTAATTTTTAAATTATGAACCGGAATCGGCCGGACCGGAACTGGAACCGGAACCGGAACCGGCCGGTTCCGGTTCACACATGGCACGAACCGGAACCGGCAGGTTCCGAACCGTGGCCATGACTAGCCCCATGCCTTTGCTATACTGAATTGGAAGAGCATTTCGCTTATCATTGATGTAAAATCCAAATGTGTGTATGGGAAACTGTACCTGTTTCAGTATGGGAGAGAAATTACCCATCGCATCAATAATCAGACGTGATGGCAAAATGATTTCATCAGTTGTTTGCAGAACCTGCAGTAAGAGCACTAAAAAGTAAGAAGTTCCATGAAAGACGATAAGAATCAGACATTGCCAAGCAAAGCAAATGATGATAATGATACTGTATCTGGTGGGGATATGCTGAAGCTTGAATTTGAGAATTACTGCAGAGAAAGTAAGCCTTAATTAAATCCCGGGTTAAATAAACAAATACTCACCACTGCATCATCGTATACAGAGAACTTGGACACACTGCAACCCTCGAAGATAACTCCACCAAGTGCTTCAAAACGTTTCTTCACGGTTTCAATTAGCTTTACAGGCCTGCGGAGACAATGAAGTGGCAAAACATGAAGTAAAGAATAGCAGGCAGAAGTATCATAAATTACAAGAGTAAAGTTTGTTGAAGTGAGAGATTTAAAAATATAATGGACAGCATGAGCACATAATAAATGAGAGTGTAATAACTAAGACATGATCAATGTCGTCCATAAAGTTATGTGCAAATATATCCTAGTCTCTACTGCTAAAATACAATACTATTCTGAAAGGCTGTATTGGCATATCATATGTGCACTTTCTATAAATCACGACTGAAGTATCTATTAAGTTGTGTAAATTACTGAGATGGCCCACCCATGAGCTTTCATCCCTGCAAAAACTGTTTTATCATGATATGGGAATATGAGAACCTTAACATAATTTTCAAGAACCAAGCAGACATCTTCTACGCAGGGGCTGTTGAGACATGCACATAGTGGGATCTCTCTCTCTCTCTCTCTCCCCAGTCCATGATGATAATTTAAAATTTCCATGACATAGTAAAGAAATATTGTGGCATGGACAATTGTACTCCCATATAAAACTATATACATCGAACAACATGCAACATTATCGATAAATTCAAAAAAAATTTCAAACAAACTCAATAAAGAAAAGCAAATGATAACTCACGAAATACCAAGATTTAGAATATCTTCAACCCAGATATCATCCTTTCCCTCGAATCCACATCTATTCTGACAAGCTCAGGACATGCAAAGAAAATTATAATTAGTTGGTTTATCAGACCAAGGAACAACAAAGATAGGGAATGCATTAATTTACAACCATGGCAGGAAGTGATGCACTGCTAAAACATGATCTGGACAACATTTTTGAGATATCACATGTCAGCGTGCCCTTCAGCCATACTATCCCACTTTAGTTGGAAGCAGCCATTAACTCCATGGATGCACAATTATGCTTGAAACCTATGGTACTAGGTAAATATCTTCTCTATTAATCTATTTGGACATAAACATAGAGTGTTCTGTTTGGCTCCAACTATGATGTCCATCTATGAACATAACTCAAACCACTAAGGGACTGCAAATTGTCCACTGCCATTGTTTATCCCTGAACAGATTTTAGACAAACTTGGTCCTTTGTGCATGCCATACTTCCTTATTAGTGAGAGGGAGTAGATATAGTACTCATCAAGTAGGTCTGAAACTCACAGGATTAAACTTTGCAGCTACAGCTTGGTCTATGTCTTCTTCTTCAAGAACACCAACTTCAACCAGTTCCAGGAGCTCCTTCTTCGAGATATTCCATTCTTGTTCTCTCTGATAAAAAAAAAGAAAAAGAGTGAAAGTAAAAGAAACCGCATTAATTTCATTCCTTACAAAACTAAGCGGGAGTTTCTCATGTCGTTTGAACCATAATTAATCTATAGTAAAAGCATACCCCTTTCAGAATATTCCTTTCCACAACTCCAACTTTAAGGCCTTTGCAACTCAAGGCCGTGGCTAAGAAAATACCCAAAGTGCCTCCACAAACTATCACATCAAATGTGTCTACTGCTATCCCAGCCAGATTAGACTTGCTGAAGAGACCAGGTACTGTTGAAACCACCTGTTGTGGCTCTTGCTTGTCTGCAATAAACGCACAATAGATGCAGAGTCGCTAAGTGCTCAAAGTATTGCAAATACTCTATCTTTGTCAAAAGCAGCAGCAGCGCAAAATCTACCTGTCTCGACAGAACAGATACTGGACCATAGCTTGTCCAATCTCTTCAAAGCATTATAAGAGTACGCTCCACCCGCACCGCCAACCTCTCCGCTCACTGTGATGCCCTCCATTATCCTCTGCGCGGTTGAAATAGTAGCAACCAAATTTAGTTAGCACGGGATAGAATTCAAACTATCAAATTTACCGTATTTCCTAATCAGATTAGTCAACATTTCCCTTAGGACTCAATACCGGCAGTTGAACTGAGAACTCTCATCTCATTCCGGCACCACAACGCCCACGCGACTCATCCTAAAGAACACGGCTGACTAGAGGAGGTCTTTTGAGGACACTTGCACGGTGACAGTTTTGCTCGCTTGCTCACAACCTTTTCCAATGAAGAGCGATTTTCGCTGCTTAAGAGAAAGCAAAATTCCGACCCCGATTCCGAAACTCTGCGTTCCAGGAATACAGGCGACCGGAACCTCATCAACCAAACACCGAATCAAGTCAGCTAATGGCATTGCTGCTCCACACAGACCAGACGACAAACCGCTTCCTAGGGCAGAGCGATTGCGAAAGAGACGGCGAAGGGGGGGAATTCCTATAAACAACCGCGCGAACCTGAGTTCTGGAGCGGACCGTCTGAGCCTGCAGGCACTGGACACTTCGCGCCCTCTTCGTCTCGTTCCCGAACGACGGGCTCACCTTGAGACGACGAGCACACCCGCTCAGGAGTCCGAACCCGGACACCGCCGCCATTGCTGGTTTCTCTGCTGAGCTCGCTACGCTCGTTTCGTCTCTCAGGCCGTCGTCGTCGTCATCTTCTTCGAAGCTTAAGGAGATCACGACGAGAGGTCGATGGTCACATGCGTCCTACGTCTGGACACGTTAACGGCCAAAACGGCCCTTCCTCCACCTTCCACTCGTTCATTTCCCGCCGTAGGATGGGGGGTGTATCTCCGGGCCGGGCCGGGTCGGGCCGGTTCGGTCCTGTTGGAGGGCCGGAATCGATCCGGTCTACTGGGTTTTGTTTTGGACTTTTGGGGCGCGAATAAGACCGAACCGGAATAACCGGACGAGAAAAGAGACGGGCCAACCGAAGTCACAAATCTAGGTTGATGTTTTCCTTAGCCAGCAAATTAAGGTCTATCGCGTTAGGTAGAAAGGTCAAAAATCGCATTGCCTGACGCCTCGATCCAGTGGTAAAAAGGTCGAGGGTCCGAATGTTTGCGTGATGGCATCGCATGGACTGCAAGAAGTCAGTTGGATCTGTTTGATTTGACATATTTTGTTGAAGCACTCGATGGAGGTCCAAAGTATTACTTGTTCTTTCTCCTTAGAAGTTTTTAAGTCGCCTTTCCCAGAAGGACATGAAAAGATAGAAGAACCGCAAACAAACTTCCCGCGCCAACGGGACATCCGCACAACATACACCCTACATGAACATCCAAATCACAGCCCTCCATAATTGTTACAATTGGCGGAAAGACAGAGCAAGGCAGAAGCAAGACCACTGCTCCCGGTGCCTAATTTCGGCATTTCGGAGTAGAAATATCATTGCGAGTCTTTGGTTCCACAGTCGCATCGGACTTTGCCCTAAAAATGGGTCAAAGAGAGCATTCCATGAATGATTAATTTCGATCAACTGAATTGAAAGGACCAAATGAAACAGAAACAAGGAAATGAGTCGCAGGCTGCCGAGCACTTTGGGTTCATTTCTTTGAATTCGCTCCTCCTCGGTAGGAGAAGCTGAATTATATGCTGGTTAAGGTAGCAAGACACCTTACCTAGGTACATTCAGAGCTAAAAGAGCACATGCCAGTTGCATGCCAACATATCAAGGAATTTTCAAGCATTTTTCTGTTTTTAACTAATCATTATGTAAGAACCTTTACATGCCAACATATCAAGGAATGCACTCACATTATGAAGAATCAATACAACATTCCTTCCCTTAAATTCCTCCTCTCTCTTGTTGCTTCTGTATATATGTCTTCGCAAACTCCTTTCCACTCCTTATACTAGCTCTCTCTCTCTCTCTCTCTATATACCTATTATAGCTCTACCCGGTTACTGCTAATTTGAGCTCATAATTTACAGGCATAGCGAAAGGCAACAAGAACGAGACTGCAACTTGGTATTCACCAACAATTCAACACATTTGCACATGACACAAAGAGGATGAACAAAAACACAAGTGAAACCAACAATTGAGGAAAAGAAACGAAAAATCCGCTTGCAGTCACTCAATTTAACCACATGCAGAAACTACGGAAAAAAGACTGAACAATTTCACTGCATCCATCCCAATAAAGCGAGGTATGGCATGAGTTTAGTCTGAGTTCCCTCGCTCCTTGTGCTGAAGGGCAGTCAACGCACTTTTTTCAAGCAGATTCAATGCACGTGGCAATGTAAAAGACAGCGCACTCTAATCTACCATGGCAAGAAAACAAAAAATTAAATATCCCTAATTGATGCTCACAGTGTTCTTTGCTGTACAGTTCAAGACCAGGATAACAACACTGAAGCTGATACCAGGAAAATAAGTACCAGCCCTCTCCGCATATAGTCTACAAGTCACCTCTTCCGACGCTTCGCCTCCACCTAAAAGACAATGCCCAAGGACATTAAGAGGGAATGCTTTAGAAAATGTGATAAAGCCATATTACAAACACTAGAATTCAATCTAAGCACATCAGAGTCAGTCCTCGACTACTAAAACCAAGAGATTTTCTTGAAGAGCAAACACAATTACAGCGTAAATCTCCATTAATTTACAAGGATTCGCTGAACCTCATGATGAATGAAAGTGTCACTACTATTTGACAACAGGATGGGTCTGTGGTGCCCCAGTGTAACACTCGTAACCACACACGTATAGTCGTAACCCAATACAAAATGTTGTTAGCTTGTTTTCCGGTGACAAAGTATCAGTGACTTACGACACTTTCAGTTCAGTTACGACAAAATGAACCTAAGCCAGATGCAATCATTTGCCACACATTGAATCAGGATAAAATGCGTGTGGTGGTGAGGTGGGTTCATTGGGGAGGGAAGCACTGAATAGTTGCGAAAACCCAGGCCCATTTACAGAAAGTGAGCATTACGCCCTGTGGAATGGTTCCCTGGGGGATCATAGAAGGGCAAACCCTCAACATGAACTTCACGCATCCTTGATAACTAATATTCTCAGGCAGCTTATTGATGTGGATGGTCACCTGTGAAATTGAATTTATTCTTTGTCTTCAGAGCAAGAAATGGAAGATAAATTTCATTGTCCACTTCTATCCCTTAACACACACTTTATTCCTCTTTGAATTCAGAATCAAACACTGATCATCCAACCAGCAGTGGAATCACAGAAGATGCAAGTTTCCACATGATTTACGTTTATTATGATGCATGGCAGCATGTACCACGCAAGCGCACATTGAAACTAAGGCCAGAGAGAAAGGCAGGCACATCTTCACCTTCGTCTCGGTTGTAGGTGATACAGGAAACTGATTTATGGATCTTTTGGCATCATCTTCAGCAGAACAGTCAGTACATAAGAAGTACTCTAACTTCTTTGCTTCTTCAATCGTCATACCCATGCAAGAAGGATGGAACCTACGACATTCAATGACTGATTTTTTTCATGAATGACAATTAAAAAGCTCAATACAGATATAAACTGAAGATATGACCACATCACAGTACAGGAAATTCAGCTTGGCAAACTTCGCTAAATAACAGAGATGCATGCAGAACCAACCGTTGTGAAAGGACCATTAAAATGGAACCATTGGCCAACATGTCCCTCATGCAACAAAGAAATGCTCTGTAGCAATAAAGGTTTGCCTCTATGCTACCATTTAACAAAGCAAAATGAGGTGACAACAATTACAAATTCCCTCTCTGTAATTTATGATGGTCTTCATATGATGAGCACGTGCTTGGTAGAGAGATTAAAAGATTCGCATACCACATTGTTCAAGTCACAACGAAGACACGGACAAGTAACTTCACCATGACAAACATCCTTTTGGACGAACGGAGAAAACAAATCATAACCACATCCTTGTATTTTAGATATTTTGACATATTTGTTAGTTGAAGGGGAAGGGGCATCCTGAAAGGAATCAATCTGTGTTAAAGCTCCAAAGTATAACCTTCAATCAAAGAATGCAATGACCAAGTGACCAGAGAGAGGCAGGTGAACTTAACAAAGAGGATTATCTAGGCCCGTTCAATTCAAAAGAGAATAAGTAGCCACTTGGACATTTACAATTTATGCATATGCACCTTTAGGAGGATATAATGTGCCTGAATTATTTACCACTTATTTTCTAAAAAATCATACTAGCTGAAAGTTTGTCAAAGGATGTCAAACCTTCTCAAGAGTTGACTAATCATTGAAGCAGAAACAACCATCTATAGCAGGAATCAAGCTTCATAAAAGTGCACCCAATGCAAGATAAGAGCAAATAGAGAGATCAGAACAGCTCATCCTTGCTTTCAGCAACAGAGAAAACTAGGTTCATTTAAATTCCAACAAGTGCAGAATATTGAAAGTTAGCTCAGGCATAGGCATCATCTGCTACAATGTTAAAGGCCTGGCACTCGACAGCTATTGCGTATCCAAAAGTGACAATCAAAGCCTATGAAGAGGTGATACTCCAAATTGATGTATCACAACAAATAAAACAGAAACAGATCAAAAGGAAATCAAATGTATAACAAATGAGTAAACATAACTTAAAAGAGAACTTATGTGCATGGATTCAGCATAGGCCACTCAAATGGGCTGCCAGCTTGAATCACTCAAAAATTCTATTTACAACATAAACATGAGCTTGACAGTGCATTCCAGACATTAAACAAGCATGTGCTACCAAATGTATGAAGTCACATTAAGAGAAACTGAACTAATAGCCTTATATCTATTACCAGTCCTTGCACCCTTCGCATTGCACCATGAGATCATCTGGGTTATATGGCATCTCGCACTTGCAATACCTTCAAAATACAAACCTAAAATAGGTGAAAAGGAAAACATGCAACAGAAACTTAACCAAAAAAGACCTTTCTCTTTCTACCAGTACCAAGAGACTCAAAATGAGAGAGCTCTAGAAACACTCAGTGGCCCGTACTAGAAAATTATTTAGAACCAATTGCCAGAATGAATACAGCGAAATCGGTAAGAAAAACACATATGCAAGTTGCCGCTTACCCCTAAAGAATTCACCATACATGCCGAAAGGCATACAATAACAAACAGGAACTAAAGTATATTCAGGCAAATACGTAGACTGCAATAAAACTAGAAAGCCCTTCTTAATGATGCCAACCCTCTCTGATTGATACTATTTCCCATGGCTAAGCCAAATAAGATTACTCAAATGAATGAAAGTGACAAAAATGTGAAGCTCACACAGCTACTCGGTCTGGAGTGAATGCTCCAGTGGCGGCCTTATATTCAAACCGGCAGAAATAGTCCTCTGCCCCGACATTCTCAAGCTTGGTGTAGTTCTTGAAAGTGTGCACCGTGCACTTCCCTTCGATAGTGTGGGCACTCTGCACATCAAAGTGATCCGACAGGAACAGCTCCTTCACCCCGTGGAACTGCCTGCGCCCTCCGATCGACTCCTCCGGCCGGTAATACCACCGGACATGGACTTTGACGTTGTTGCGGTGGTCGGCCTCTATCTTCTCCACGCGCGCCACGTAAGGCGGCTTGCCGGACTCCGGAGAGCGCATGAGCACGCAGTCTCCAGCTGCAACACAAAAACCGAAAAAGAAAACTCTCGCCTCAACTTCCCCCGAGGAAATTTATCATAGTCCGAGCACCGGAGCAAAAACCAACTCAAACCCTCGAAAGTTCGAGACGAAGCCTCTCGCGCAAGCGAAATGCCAAGAGAAATGCAGGTTCACCCCCACCACCCCCCCCCCCCCCCCTTCAACACAAACACACCACACGAGAGACCCACCACCAGCTACTTCAACGCGCGCGCGCAATTTCAGAACGAGAACACTCCAAAAGCACCGCGCGCTCGAGTGCGAGAATCTATAACGACGGAGCAACAGGCGAGGCGAGCAATGCCGAGAGAGAGAAAAGGAGAAACGCGCGGGGGTCACGAAGAGAGAGAGAGAGAGAGAGGATCGGAGGTTACGCCGGACGACTTTGTTGGTGCCTTTGATGGTGTAGGAGTCGAGGTCCTTCCTTCCCGGCTTGGTCTTCGCCATCAGAGTGCGGGGGGGAGGGAGAGTGTGTGGGAGCTTCGGCTGGGTGTGGCCGCGCTACGACGGAAGCTGCGGGACTTCGTATCGCCGGGCCGGAGCGGAGCGGAGAGCTGTCGATCAATGGAGAGAGGGAGGGAGGGAGAGAGAATGGGGGGGGGGAGCGAGTTGAATCGGCGCGCGAGGCGTTCCTCGGGGACCGAGCGGGGGAGGGTTTTCGGTGGTGGTGGTGGGGGTTGTGGAACTGGGAAAAGGCGCGATTGTGGAAGCCCTAAGCAGAGGCGATAATGGCGTTTTTGAGCAGGAGAGAGAGAGAGAGAGAGGAGCGGGTTCTCGTGTCGCGTTGTCGGGGTGCGAGGATGATTGAAGTTGGTCACTCCGGTACCTCCCACGTCATCCGCTGTAATAAACCTTACGATCGTCTTGTGTCCTCCTCCTCCTGTCTCTCTCTCTCTGTTTTTTTTTTAATCTTACTAAGCCTATTTTAATAAATAACTTTTATTAATTGCGCGTAACATGAGAGAAGGAATGCCGCCGGGACTTTTTTTGCTTACTTGGGTATTTAGTAAAGATTTTTCTGGCTTATCGGTGTTTCGATTTTTTAAATCGCGCAATATTTGCTTTGCTACGTTAAAAAAAAAAAAGGTAAAGGGAGTAACTAAACTTAAAAAAAAAATAGAAAAATAAATGAGCTTTCAAGAAAGCGGGAGCGACGTTGACTCCATTCATTTTCGGCCCCAGTTCATACCTTGTCTACTGCTGTAATTACGGAATTACCCACCCTCCTGGTTTTTGCTTTTACTTCTTTTCGTTCTCGTGACCAAATCCGTCGATGTCGAAACGGGTTCAAGCTACGTCGCTTCAATTCGTCACTCTAGATTTCGTGGGTCAAATGGACCATGCCTAGAAGCTATGTAGGTCGTGCGACTTCGTGAAGAAGACTGCGCTAATTCGTCCATGTTCGAAACCCACCAAAGCCTGACTGCGCAAGATGGTTTATACCCGCGGCTTTCACGAGAATCACAACAAAGAGTCCGGTCAGGTTGGACGCTTCGGCTCACGCTTGTAGATATGAATGATAGGTTGGGCCATCTCTATATCTCTGTTTCGTCCCCAACACGGCTAGAATTTCTACTGGAATCATTATTATAAGGTGAAGGATGAAACAACGACGCTGACCGCCCTTGGAATCAGTACATTTCCAGCATTCAGAACAACGCCAACCACCATACCTGGGAGCATTTGCAAGGACAGAAGACAACATTGCCTCAAGCTCATAATGCAAAGATAAGCCCTTCTCGGTCCTGCTTCAAAGAGTTCATAATGTCCCAACAAACATCGAGTTGGGATTGCAAGATAATCAATCATCTGTCGCGCGAATGAACGAGATGACAAACTCTACTCTTATGTGGATCGACAGCATTTCCTTTCCAGAGCAGCCACAGTGAATCAAGGCACACCTGTGTATGTGGATTATATAACATGATTCAGTGGCGCCGACACCGAATATGATGGGCAAGAAGGAAATATCTATTCTTCACAGTTTTAACTGAGGAATTCAATGAGACTGGCATCCACACTTAACAAGCAAAAACTCTTGCTTTGCAGCAAGAATATGGCTCCTAAGGGTCGTTTGGATCCTCATTCAAGGGCAAGTTTTGTGAATAATAAACATGCGACGGAGCTTAATTTAATCTGAGAGTAGAACTTCTGACTTCTCCCAAGAAGCCATTTAGAACTTTTGGATAACCACCGAGTTAGCTATTCCAGCTTGCTCTATCGTCTCATCCAGATCGTTGAGTTGCTTGGGAGGGAACCCCATGGTCTGCAACTGGTAATTTCTATCCCCGCCAGGCCTGGACGCATCGATGAAGGCACGAATATCCCGGATCGTATGGCTATAGTTGAAGCGTGATACCATGCGCGTCCCATCGGCTAACCTGAGTTGGATTGAAGTGGACGGCAACGAATCATCCACCACTAGACCCATGAACGGAGTTGGCGGAGTACTAAGGGAAGAGGAGGCAGCAGTGGGTTCAGAGGCAGCAGGAGAGCTGCTTATGCTGCCTAGAGTTCTTCCTGTTCCACGGAATGGAAGTTGGCGCTTCTTTGGTTCCTGCAGGGGAGAGAACAGATCCTCATAATCTCATCCCTGCAGTGACAAAAGGACTAGCAGAAGCGAATTGGGAAGGAAAGGAAGACTTACAGCGTGGGGTTCTTCGCGCCTCACAAGATCAACATGCACTGCAGTTCTCCGATCAGCTGGAGCAAGTTCTTGAGGACACTCTGAATTCTTGATGCTCTGCATGTAAAATTAACAGGAATCAGTAATGCAACAAACTAGCCAACTATTGAAAATAGCAAACACAAGAATATCATCCATTTTCTAGTGATGACATGACTCAATATAAACAGAGCTGAGAACTTAAATAGCCAGTGGCTAGCTTAAATGTAACTCTAGCGGCTTTAAAGAAATGGATCACACAATCTTGCCTGAGCAGTAAGAACCTCAAATTCTTGAACTTAACCACAAATAACAGGCCTAATGCATACTTTTTACAAGAGTCATAACAGAGATGGAAGTTAATACCCACAAGAAAAAGCCTTGAGAGAATCACGACACATACCTCCAAGAATTGAGCATTTTCAGGATCATCCAACCTCCGCAGAGGACCATCATCAACAGTAAATCCGTTCTGCCAAAATGTAATTGTGTGAGTGATCACTTCAGGGTGCTCAGGAGCCGATGAGACGACCTCCCCAGAAAGCAATCTCCCTCGTCCGGTAAAACTTCTTGATCTTGATGACTGGTTATCAGCAGGTCTTTCCACACCCCTTTGTCTGGCTTGATTAAAAATTGAATCCACATCATTCCCCTTGGTGGGATCTTGGACAAGCATCCCACTGCTCCAGAAGATCATTAAATTGAATAGCAGTAAATCACTAATCAAACAAAATCTAATGTGACAATACTAGTAGGAACATCGCATAACGGGACAAATGTTCTCTTATTTCTTCTTCCCTTCGACTTTTAGAAGAGGAAGAAGGAAATGGTGGAGGTTTTCCGGTCATTGTAAAATCACCTACATTAGTTCGGCGAAAAAAAAGTTCATGGTTTCATTTTCAAAAAGGCTTCTGATGCTACACCACACCAAGACGTTTTCCGCTCATTGCAACATCACCTACTTTAGTTTGGTCTTAGAGTTGGTTCGTCACGACCAGATAACACAAGAACATCAGGATTCATCTCTCCGTCTAATATCCTCTTTACCGTCATTCTAGGAACGGTTCAAAGAGTGATAAGAATCACCCAGTGCTGACAAAACATCCATCTTACATCTACTCTATCAACTAGACCAGTAAAATATGAAAGGCAAAATCGATAGGCAAGCTGAGTAAATGAATGTAGACCCTTATCACCAAATCTTATAAAAAGCTCAAATTTTTCATCTTCAAAACGATTACACGGAGAGATGACGGAATTCATTGGCTGAGAAAGAGTTTAGCTTTCGTTGCTAGTTCCAAAGAGGAGTACACATCGTTTCCGACCGACATGTATGAAAAGATTAAACGCATGTTTTACTCCAGCAACTCACCACTCCCTAACAGATCAAACAACGGCAGCTCTAGATCGATCTTCAATTACGCCTAATTCACAATTATCAAAGAAGCAAACGACCCCAACTTCTCATTTCCAGAGAGATGGGGAAACTACTCGCGGGTCACTTATTTCCTGTAACTCGATTCCACGCATAGATTATTGAAACAGATGCAAGCCGCCGCCGCCGCCGCCGCCAGCATAGCTGATAGTTTATCTAAGTAAAGTGAACGTCAGAGACAAGAAAAAAAGGGACCTTTTTTCGCCGCCTGTGTAGTACTCCTGCGGTTCATCGGAGTCGCTGTCGGAGTCATGATCAACTGGCCGGTTCAGATCCGCGAGGGTGCGGACGCCGCGCGCCCTGCTGCCGGACGGCTTGTCCGGCTTCTTCTTCGACTTGGCGGCGCGGCGCGAGCGCAGCTCGTAGGGGCCCCTGGCGGGCGAAGCCGACCGGGACCTCGACGGGGACCGCGACGGGGAGTACGACAGCGACGGGGACCGCGCCGGCGAAACCGAGGGCGACTGGGAAGGCGAGTTAGGAGAGGCCGGGGCGGGGGCGACGGCGGGGGCGGGGACGGGGAGCGGGGGAGCATCGGCAAGGGTGTTGTTGTCGAGGAACGTCGAGACGGCGGCGTCGAGGTCCCAATTGTGGCTCTCGAGGAAGAAGACGGCCTCCTCGCGGGAGGAGGAGGTGATCTCGCGGAAGGAGCCGATGGTGGCGGCGTTGTCCTCGCCGCCCTTGAGCGCCGCTTCCATGGGCTCGTTGTCCATGGCGATTGGCGGCGGCGAGATCCTTCGGTGGAGCGGCTGCTTGTGCGGGTGCTTCTGCTTCTCGGTCAGCCGCGATTCGAATATCGATGGAGTGACCGGGGGAGATCCGTCGCCGCTGTCTTTGCTGCTACGGCACCGCTTCGGTGGAAAATCTCGCTGTCCCCGGGACCAAAACGGCGTGTCGTTTTGGAGTAGTTTGGGCAATGCATCGCTCGATATATGGGCCTTGAGTACAGACGGGCCGGGCCCACGTGGATCTTATGGGCTTGTGGAGGCCCGCAAAGACCCGAAATCACATTTACTCAAAACTAATTTTTCGACCATAAAAAATCTCAAATTTTATACATTTGTGACACATTTACTCTCCGTTAATTTCTGTTAACTTTGATTAATATCATGAAAAACCATAAACCGGTACACCTGTGACAAACATAAGGTAAAACCCCAAACTGATACACGAGTCAACTGTCACGTATCATCTAACTCAGCAATTTGACGGTAAAATTTAACGGAAACTAACGGATGGTCATGTGTACCAGTTTGATGTTTTTGATGATTTGGGGTAAATTTGTTATAGGCATAACAGTTAGGGATTTTTAGTGGTATTAACCCTTTTTAAAACTTTTAGGTACAAAATTCAAACGGGTAAAACTCTGAAAAAGTGTATAAAGCAATATAATCGTGTCAAAATATAAAAATAAATAAATGGCATAAGAGATGGAAAATTGTGTTTCTAAGCAAGACCTTAAAAGGAATTATGGATGAACGGAGCTATTAGCACACGGAACTAGGCTTTGGCGGCCATAAATGTTAGGGTTTTGGACTAGGCTCACCGTTGTTTTCTGCGCTAGAGGAAACAGGGAGAGACAGATCCGAGAGTGGGAGGCAAGGGGAGAACGATCAATGAGGAGAAGGGACTCCATAAAAAGGAAGATTAGTAAGAAGGTACAGATTCGGTTGGAGCGCCATAAATAGAGATGAAACACAGGACTTTAGGAGTTTTTAGGGTTACCTATCAGGCTATCACCATGGATAAGGAAAGCTCATAGAGAGAAGAGAGGAGCTCTCACGAGAAGAGGAGGTTACCACGTAGATCCATTTAAACGGCGTGACAGTGTAGATTGGCTAATCCAAATGCTCCGTTCTTCCGATCCCGGAAGGCTAAAGGGGAACAAACATGACCTTGGTTAAGTGTAGATTGCTGAAGTTCTTGATTCGCCTCTTCAATTGGTTGTCTCTGATTGCTTTCAGATGAAAATAAATCTCGAGGAAAATGAAGTTAAAGAAATAAGCGACTTGGAGAACAAAAGAAGTAACATGAACACATTTTAGAACACCTCTGATCAAGTATTCCTACAGCAAGTTCATACCGGAGCAGGAACAAAGAAAATGTTAAGGCGAACAGATGGAAGACTAGAAAGAGAGGATGGTTCAGAATAACACTTCAGCCTCATAAGTAGGAAGGGCCAATCGTTCATCAAACAATAATCAAGTCCCTCAATGAGAGCATCAATCCCCACTAGCGCAGGTTATCAATGAGTACCCACTGAGGCATACTTATGGCTTCCAGTGACTAGCATGATATATGGCCCTCAACAGCCTGTGACCGATATTACTGTGAGGTGAAAAGGCAAAATGACACAGTTATCAATATAGCTGATGATTTAGATCTCAGAAATAGATCCTCCAAGTAATTAAAACCAAGCTTTCATCAGTATTTGATCCTCCAGGCAAACGAGACCAAGCTTCATAAGTATGGATTATGGCCGTTTCCCTTTTTACCGGGCGAGTTGATTCACTTCCTTTGCCAAGACCAGTCTCAATCTCAAGCTGCATAGAGTAGAAGGGTCCAAAAGGTAAAGATATCAAAAAGATCACTACTACTACTACTACGTGTAGTACAATAGTGCTAATTACTCGTCTTCTGTTTCTGCATATGAGAGCAGAACTACTTGCAACTCTTCATATGAGTCAAAATGCTATAAGCAGCTAAAGGTGGACTGCAACTAAAAAGACGAGGCTCAGACCTCACATTGATCTTTCGGCCTGTAATTGCGCTAATTGCATTAACAGATTGCGTCTTGATAAGCTTTCTGCGAGTTCTAATTCCTACTAATATTAGGTACATGCAAGAAAGCCCTTTTCTTTCTCAAAGTAAATTCGATGATAAAGGAGCACCAAAGGATATTTGGCTATCACGGACAATTAGGTGTCTTAGCTACTCCTTTTGCAGGTAGTCGATGCTGAGACAAACAAAATACCAGGAAAGATCACCGCTTCAGGCTGGTGTCATCACCATTACTCGAGAGGCGAGGGACGACAACTGGAGCACCACGAACCTTTTCAAGAGCGTAGCTTATCCTCAAGGGTCGGCCTAGCAATGCCTACAATCAAAAGTGCCATAGTTGGAATATAGTTTTCGAATTTTGAGAAACACGAGCAGAACTTGAACCTAATATAACGCAGAAAAAAAAAAGAAAATGAAATGGGGAAATCTCGTACTTATTCACCTTCCCATCCATGGCATCTTTTGCACATGTAGCATCACCTTGGTTTGTAAAACAAACAAAACCAAAGCCTCTTGATCTACCACTGTCTTTGTCATACAAAATCCTAACTGAAACAAAATTCGAGGCAGTTAACCAAAGAAAATTTCAGACACAGTTGTACACTGTCAGAAAGTAAGAACATCTTTCCCCATTGTCTTTCTAAAGTCTAATCCTGAGCATGTTAACCATCACTAACACCGAGAAATGAGAGACATGACCGGTACTTGTGTTGGTGCATGTCTTCCTTTGAGTAATGGTGTTTTAATAGGTGAATTTTTAGAAGCAAATAACTTTGGAAGAATCAACACAAGAAGTCTCAGAACTAAACAATACTGCAAATTTGACAAGTACAAGTGAGCGGCAATTATATAGCTTTTCAGCCGCCATCATGGGCGTTGCATGGCAGCATTCAAACCCACAGAGCATAGGGGTGAAGTATCTTACAAAAAGATTGAGCCATCTCCAAAAATATCAGATCTAGTTATCGAAGAGATCCTTAAGTGGGCCTATCAAAAAGATCAATAGTTTACCAGTCAGCTGTCCACACTTGCATATGTTCTTTTTGCCCACTTATTTGACCAAATGGGAAACCAAAACACATTTCCATTCACAATCAGAGTCTCATTTTGTTCACATGAGACGCTTTGATGATCTAGAACATGAATTAGCAAACCAGTACAGAATTCGCATCAACATTAGGCTTTTGGAGATTGCTTTACCTTCAGTGACCTCCCCAAATGAGGAGAAAGCGTCTTTCAAGGACTTCTCATCAACTGACCACGACAGTCCTATCACACCAAGATCCGCAAAATTACACATCCAAGCGCTTTACGTGATGCTAATTGAATGAAGCCGAGAGAACAGAACGCACCGCCGACAAAGAGTTTACTATTGGAGGGAGAGGGATACGGCACAGGTGGAGAACAAAAGCAGCGCGAGCTAAAGGTCTGGTTTGGGTTTCGAACTGTCAAAGCTCTTCGCACCAGGAACATCAAACTCCTGTCCATACTGAGCCCTGCTACCAAAAGGAAGCTCTTCTCTTTATACTTCAAGAGAAATGCACAAATGATGGCAACAAACCTATGTTCCTCAAAAGTTAAAGAGTATCAGCATACAGAAGCAGGACACCCATAAGAAGTTCGTCACATGCAAGTCGTATAATCTAGTACAACATCACAGGGGGTCTAATTCCACACGGGGCAGACAAATACACAAGGACATCATCATCATTCAAATGCAACAGGAATTTTAGTATTCGAGAAAGGCACCCTATGTTCCTCAATCTCATGTAACACGACCAATGACCCCAAAAAAAAAATTCGATGTTCTGAAAATCAATCATGCAATCTGCAGCATTTCGATATTCTAGTTGCCCATCCGTCGTGCTCGAGCAAGAGACGGCCACCTTAAAACTGAAGCCGAGAGTTCAATTTCTCTAAAATCAGGTTTCGCTTCTGGCTACTGAACGAAGGAACTAGCTAGGCAGTGAAGAGATTCGCTCGAGCAAGTCTAACTTCTTGAGACGGCCCCGCGTACCTTGCCGCGATGAAAGCTAAGGATCCCCCAATCTCTCCTGAAGGTTATTTCAGCTGTGAACTGGAGCGGCGGTCGTTGCAATCGGCTGCCTGCGGGGGTGGTTCCTTCGCCGTATCCGGAGTCGCTGGCGGCGGCGACGGCGGCGGCGTGGCGGTTGGTTGGCTGAGCGTACAGGCGCGACGGTGGAGAGAGTTGAGAGAGGCGAAGTCGAAGACTGGGAGGGTGGGCCTCTTTCTTCTGGACAACGAGCCATGAGCCGATGCCTTTCTCCCGGTTCGACCGGTAAACCGGCCCAGTAAGCACCGGTTCGCTCGGTTTGACGGTTCTCGCGTCGCTTTCGATGGAGACCTACTTCTTCACCTTTCGACGAGAACAGAAGGTAAAAAAAAACTACAATTTTGAATGCGCCAATCGCCAAAAATTGGAATGGTAACGACGAATGACCGTTGACCTACCGTCGTCTCCCGTATCACTTCGGCTTTCGATCCATCATCGTTGAGGAGCTTCGATGTGCGAATGGCGTCGACGGAGGCGAACGAAGGAGATCGTGCGGTGGAGCTGATCGTGAGCGGCGCATCTTCACCGCCCGAAGCCGCCGCCGCCGCCGCCGCCGCCGCCGCCGCCAATGTTGATGGCGATGCTCCGGAGATAACGCCTCTGTTGAATCAGTCCGACAAGCCCAAGATCAACATATTCGCCGTCTCCTATCCTCGACGAAACACTAGGGTAACGAATTTGACCTCATTTCAGCTCCGACGTAGTATAATCGGAATAGCTTGTGGAGTGTGTTCATTGAATCGTTTTGTGCTGAACCGATTGACGCTCGTGGATGTTTCATTGATAGTGTTTGAGTTTCTCTGTTGTGCGTTGCGTAATTGCGATTTTGAAGATGAAGCCGCGATTGGAGAAGTGAGTTTGACCATGTTAATGCGTTTGTAGGAGCAAGTAATCAGATCACACGATGCCGAGGTGTCTCCTGCGGTTCAGTGTGCTCTGTGGGTGTGGAGTGGATCCAGATACTCTGGTCTGTTGTGCATGGCTGCGTCGTCTATGATCTACTTTTTGATGGAAGCTGTTTCCGATGCTTTCGCTGGTTAGTATTTGCTTTTCACCGGTGTCGAGTCTCGGTGCCTATTGTTGAATGAAACACCTTGATTCACACACATCTAAGTCTGATTATATATAACATCGCCGTAGAATCACAGTTGCCTAATGTATTGCCTTAGCAACCACGGAGAAGAGCTTCACATCATGTTTAGCTTAGAATAGAAGCTACTTTCCCATTTACCGTATGTCTTGCCTTCTAACCCTTATAGTACGTTGAGAACTAGGTAATTCAGATTGCAACTATTTATTCTAAAATATGTTCGATGGAGTACTTCTGCAGTGGTTTTCTTTCTCATCTTCTCCAATCTCAGGGCAACATAATACATTGTTTGTTATAATCATTCTTACACTTATTGACGTCCATTTGATATAATTCTATTCGGACGAGAATTGAGATGTCATTTGTTTTGGATGCAGACTGATTTTTTCCCCTTAATTCTATTATGACAGCTCAGTCAATTCCATTGTTTGAGACCGCGTTTGCTCGATGTACACTAATTTTGATATCATCGTATCTGTGGTTGAGGAAGGGTGGACAGCCATTATTTGAGCCCAAACATGCTAGAAAGCTTTTGTTTTCACGAGCTGTACTTGGATATCTCTCACTAATGAGTTTTATTTATTGGTAAGTGACGTTAGATTTGCTTTGTTCCTGAATTCATCCTATTCTTATGCTTATGCAGTGCCTTTTTGCTTTAGAGTTGTTCATGTTCTCCTTCTTAAGTCCATCTGGAGTATCTCTTGTACTTCAAAGAACAATGCATCCCCATTGGTACACATTTGAATCTTCAGCAATGTCAATAGGATAGACTCATCACCTCTATATTCTTGGTTGGGCATCCATTAAATATGCATGACTGGCTGCTGTCACGAAAGCTGGCCTCTACCATAGACATGATATGACGTTTCAAATCAGCTTATGCTTAGTTTCTTTGCTTGCATTTATGATTTCAAATATTCTGACTGTTCTCTTTCCTACGTTCCCATGCTTGTACTGTATTGAAGTTTTTCAAGTACCATTTATTCTAAATTGAGTTGAACCTTCTTTCCTTTTCATTTCAGCATTCAAAGATTACCTTTGTCTCAGGCCATTGTTTTGAGCTTCACAACTCCAATTATGGCTTCAATAGCGGCAAGAGTCATATTGCGGGAGAAGTTGAGAATTGGGGATATAGGAGGTGTGTTCATTTTTCAGTTGGAATTATATTCACTATGCAAATGCCTTCTTATGAAGTCATGTCTACTATATAGATTGACAGTTGAGAGAGAGAGAGAGAGAGAGATGATTCCATTTTATTTTGTCAGAACACTCCTAGAGAGAAAAAAAAAACGGTGTACTTGCAGTTTCTTTCCACATATATAGCTGCCGTAGTGAAAGATGCTTTGTTCCTGGACAAAGACTTAGTATAAATGCTTGAGATAGGGATGTGTATTGTGTACATGATAGAAAATGTGGTCTGCTGGATTGGGTCACAAGGCTGAGTTCATTGCGTTTACTTGTGCTACCTAGTCAATTTTGAGGCCCTGGCTGTTTGGAGTTCCTGCAATGCAATGTATACATTGATATTACTATTTGAGAAGGGCAATTATCGAATATATTTATATCCTATCAAAACTCTCCTGATTGTCCTTTGGAACTTTGATCATATATGTCTCTCTAAGTACTGGATGCTATTCTAATGGAACTTGTTATATAGCTATTTGATGGAACCGGGACCTGGTTAGGCTGCCTTGGTATTATGGTTCACCAGTGCCTGACTGCTTTTCTTGATCTTATCTTGTCCTAGGTCTTGCTTGCAGTTACTTTGGTGTGCTTTTTATCTTCCAGCAGATGCTTGTCTCACAAGGTATACAAGTGAGTTTGCAGAACCTTTAAAGTAGATGCTGGATGTCAATTGCTTTGAGAATGTTAATAACACGGAATATGCCTGATTTGATTTCAGTCGCGCTAATATGTCCTGATTTCATGATAATACAGGCACGCTAAACCAAAAAAGGAAAACAAATGAAAAGCATCTGCAATTTTAGGCTTGATTGCTCCATTGGGTCATCTTCTTTTTAACCGGTTCCTCTCAGTTTCCCTGATATTTACTTTTGGAGAAGAGTGCGAGTTTATAAGCGAAAAAATTGAGTTAGACCGAGCTTGTCATGAGTATCAATAGTGTCATGGTTCAGTTCTGTGAACAATTATTGTGGATTTTCCTTCTAGTGAAAAGGTTGATGCTCAAACCTGGGAATGAGCCTGTTGTACTGGGTACGGGAGTTGGATTATTTTTTATATCAATTAAACATGGAATTTTTTGTTAGTATTTTACGTTGTAAGAACCAACTGTATATGAAAGATTAGAAACGTGTTAACTTACTTCAAACTGATTATCGACTTTTCCAGGGGGGTTAAATAAAGCTGGCAAAGTACAAGCTTATGCTAAGGGAAGTCACCATATATTGGCAGTGCTAGTTGGCTTATTTTCAGCAATAACTGGTGGAATCAGCTTTTGTCTTATTCGAGCAGGAGCCAGAGAAACGGATCAACCTATGTACAATTTTTTACATGATCAAGCTTATGCTATAGATTGACATATTCTGTCATTTGCAGGCCTTTCCATAGTGAACTGGAGCATAGATGCAGTTGTTTTTTATTTGATCATGGCTTGAATCTTGAAATGCATTAGAACATATCTAATACAATGATACAAAAGTCTTTCCTCTCTCTCTCTCTCTCTCTAAAGAAACCTTGGAAAATTATATTGCATTCAGTATGATATGTTGTAGTCCTCTCAGATCTTGATGTAAATTGGCTCCTACTCTTTGGTGGAAGTGGATAAGTGTAACCTTGAAAATATCATGATGAAGATAGTTATTTTCCTCCTCTGGAAATTGTGTATAGAACTTATTGCTTCTGTTGCATCTACTTTTCAGGATGACTGTGTTTTCGTTTACCTTGCTGGCTAGCCCTGCTGCTGGACTCTGTGCATTTTCCTTTGAGGTAAGTTCATGGGACTTGGTGTGTTTCCTTTGAAGTAAATTCTTGGTTCACTCAGGTTAAAGTAGCAGGCTCTTAGCTATGTGTATTAAACTTACTATAGATTTGACCTAATTCTGTAAGTTTTTGTTTTAGGATCAGCATGATTGACCTAATTCTTTGATACCTTTATTCCTTCAAGTGCTTGTATATGAACTAAAGATATTTACTTGTCGAATATGTTGGTTGGACGGCTAGATACTGTACAGTCAAGTACAGGGCACAGGCTTGCATCAGACCTGTGCCCATCCCAATATCGGCATTTTTATAATTTCATGTACTGACCAAATACATCAGGTTATTTCCTGATGCCGCTATTGACATCAGTTAACACATGCTGCAGTGACTGCAATTTCACGCTACAACCACTGCAATTTCACATGTATTTGCTATCTTTGTGGTACAGGATTTTGTGCTGCCTAGCTATTACACAGTTTTCCTGATGTTGGTATATGGTGGGCTGGCCTTTCTGGCAGAGGTGATCCTAGCATTTTTTGTGCTTATTTATCTCCACCGTTAGCAAGCTTTGACTGCAGCCACTAAATTGTCCCTCCCCCCAACCTCTCTCTCTGTTGGGTCTGCTAACTGGCTATGGCATCTTCCTGGGGTCTGACTCTGGTGTTGAATTGCAGCTGCTGTTGGCGCGTGCTCTTCAGCTTGAAAAGACTAGCAAAGTTTCGAACATCCAGTTCATCGAGGTACTCTTTTTTGCTTCAATTATCGTTCTGTCCTTGTCGATGGTTGCACTGTATATTTGCTGCATTATATGTTTATTTTTTCTATTACTAGCTGCAAGGTTCTAATTGGTCACAGCATTCCGATTAGAGAAGCATATGCATCTTATACCCAATTGCACAAGTAATTTTGACAATGTGCGGTGCGCCTCCCTAAGTGTATCCGCTATGATTTCAGCTAGTTGTGATCATTATTTTTTTTTTTTTTACTTCGTTATTGATAAACGATATGTTGATTTTGGATTGAAGTTTTTGCATCAATGACTTAGTCACAATATTTTACTTTCATTTCTGTCATTTAACACGTTATGATCTTACATCATTGACTTATCCACAATCCTTTACTTTCATTTGTTATTTAGGTTGCGCTATCACAGTTATGGGGAATTGGTGCACGAAGGCTATCTCCATCTTTTGGGCGGCTTGTCGGGTGTTTTCTCATCCTAATCTCAGCGTGCAGCACCATGTACAGTGGACCCGATAAAGAGACTGCCTGAGGCGAAACAGTAGCAGAGGCATTCTTTTAGTTCCATTTCTCAAGCAAACATTCCCCAGTTGCCACCAGGCACCAGGTGCACTCATTCTTTGTAAGCGTTGTAAAATGTTGCATGAAAATGAACTGGGTCTATCATTACCCATGTATTCGGTTTTTCACTCTTGGCATTTGCACCCCTCACAGTATTTTTGAAGGCAAGAAGGCCTTCTAACTTTTTGTAATTAGAGAAGGTCATAAAGAAGAAATATACACACGCTCCCTCTTTTGGAGCAAACTGCTTACAGATCATTACTCTTATTAGAGTCTTCTTGGAAAATGATGGATGGATGGGGGTTCTGGAGTTATCTTCACTTCACAGCATGTTTGGCTAGGGTTACTTCCCTGCTCTCATGTTTTTGCTCTTCTCCGATGATGCGCAATGCTTTTCTCGCACTGCACCGTGCATATGATGTCGGTGTACGTACAAATGTACCGAGTGACATGTAGACCAGCTCAACGTGTCCATAATACACCGAGAATAAAAAATACTTCTCGAGGAATGCGTCTTTTAGAAGTACGAAACGAGGGCTGCCCTGTTATTTGGGAATTTTTTTTTGCCGGCTTTAGAGGCAAATGAAAATCTTGAAACAAGAACGATAGACTAAGAAAAGAACAAAATGTCTCTTCTCCATTTCGCGAAGAGATAATCAATCCCGTGATGAAACCGAGGTCTACTTCTCGTTCTTTGCACCGTCGTTTTCTCCGAGGAGAAGCCCAAGTTCCTGAACTATCTTCCAACAATGGCGACAAGCCCTGTTTTGCCCGCATCAGGACAAGGATCTGTCGGTGCCGTACCTGCTGCCAACGTTCGAAAATCCGGAGCTACAGAGAAAGAGATCGGGGTGGTAAAGCACTGCACGGGTCATGATTGCATCATCATAAGAAGCTCGCAATGAAATGGATCCGAGAGCCTAATTTCATTTAATTCGAGTTGTATGTCGCAAGAAACATAATCACTTACTTCAATCGGCGACTCCGGCGGAACATGTATAAATAGCAGATGAGATCAAATATGAGATGTTTCGACGTCTCTCCTTTGGGTTTGTGGCCGGACCAAAGAAAGCAGGGAGTTTTTGTTCGAGGCATCGTCGATGCTGTGAAACTCTAAGGCCGACAACCTCGTTGCCGCTACGGCGTCTAATTTTCAATGGGGAATCTCAATGCGGGCTAGGCGCGCATGGTTAGCATCTCCTGTGCAATCACGTCGGGACCGACAAGTGTGAGGACAATAGGAAGAATGAATCTAGTGTTATGTTTAACGAGAACACTAAACAGCAAAGGTACACAAAACAAATTGTGGGAGGTTACAAAGAAAAAGTTTTAGGTTTTTTTTTTTTGTTTTTGTTGGGGGGGGGGGGGGTCAAATACAAAGGAAGGAGTTACAATGCGGATGAAAAGTCGTCGCTTTTACGAGAGATCGATGGGTCTTCAAGTATCTCTCAAAGTGTATAGAGGTAAGGTATAAGATAAAAAAGAAAAAGGGGAAGTAAAAGGTACATCTCTTTTACCCCCAATTCCTAAATTATACCGGAACGTTGCGATTAGCGAGCGCTTTTTATTAATAACGCAAAAAGCGGGATCCAAGGGAAGGGGGGGTTGGGTTGCATCTGGGGGACCCGCCACATCCAACGGTCGAGTTTTCCGTGGAACAGTACGACGTGCGTGCGTGGGGACACGTGACACAGTGTGACGTGGGGGCCCACACGAGGGGCGGGTGACGACTTTTCTCCCCTCCCCTCCTCCTCCTCCTCCTCTGTCTCCACACGACGCCTGATCAGACCCCCCCCGGGTCCCACCTCCTCACCATCTCGATCTTCGCAACGGCACTTCTTCCTCCTTCCCTCCTCTTTATCACTCACTCCACTCCCACTCCCACTCCACTCCACTCACTGTCGTCACCAACTCCCCTCGCGGCTCGCACTCGCAGACAGGAGAAGAAACAGAGGGGAGAGGCATTCCGCTCCTCCTCCTCTCCTTTGCTCTGTTTCTCCTCCGAAGAACCCCCCACCACCCCGGCATTATGGAGCGCCTTCCTCTTTCTTCCTTCTTCTTCTTGTTCTTGCTTCTCTCTGTTCTCTCTCTTGCTGGTAAGTTCTGGAGGTCTCTCTTCTTTTCCTCGTAGTTCGCCATGTTTTCTTTCAAATGCAGCTCAAGTTGGCAGCTTTCCCGACTCTCTTCTAAATGGGTGTTGTTGTTGTTGTTGTTGTTGTTGTGGTGGTGGTGGGGACAGAGGGTGGTTCCATCGGAGTGAACTACGGGCGGGTGGCCAACAACCTGCCGTCGGCATCCAAGGTGGTGCAGCTCCTCAAGTCGCAGGGCATCGAGAAGGTGAAGATCTACGACGCCGACCCGGCCGTCCTCCACGCCTTCGCCGGCACCGGCATCCGGCTCACCGTCGACCTCCCCAACGAGCTCCTCTTCGCCGCCGCCCGCAGCCTGTCCTACTCCCTCGTCTGGGTCCAGCGCAACGTCGCCGCCTACCACCCCGCCACCCAGATCGAGGCCATCGCCGTCGGCAACGAGGTCTTCGTCGACCCCGGCCACACCACCAAGTTCCTCGTCCCCGCCATGAGGAACATCCACACCGCCCTCGTCAAGTACAACCTCCACAACGCCATCAAGATCTCCTCCCCCATCGCCCTCAGCGCCTTGCAGGTACGAGAGGCTGTCGTCAATTTGTGTCGTCTCAAAGACGCCTTGAATCGTGCTCGGGTCGGGTCAAGATATGTTTTTTTTTTTTTTGGTTTCGAGTTGTGTTCTTCTGTTTTAGTGTAAAGAAGGATCGACGATTCGACGCCCTTTTGTTTGTTGTTCTGCAGGCCTCGTACCCTTCCTCGGCCGGTTCGTTCCGGCCCGAGCTCATCGAACCGGTGTTCAAGCCCATGCTCGAGTTCCTCCGCCAGACCGGTTCCTACCTCATGGTTAACGCCTACCCCTTCTTCGCCTACGAGTCCAACTCCGACGTCATCTCCCAAAACTACGCCCTCTTCCGGGAGAACCCGGGCGTCGTGGACTCCGGCAATGGGCTGCGCTACTTCAGCCTCTTCGACGCCCAGATCGACGCCGTCTTCGCCGCCATGAAGGCCCTCAAGTACGACGACATCAAGATGGTCGTCACCGAGACGGGCTGGCCCTCCCAGGGCGACGAGAACGAGGTCGGCGCGAGCAAGGACAATGCCGCCGCCTACAACGGCAACCTCGTCCGCCGGATCCTCACCGGCGGCGGCACCCCGCTGAGGCCGCAGGCCGACCTCACGGTCTACCTGTTCGCGCTCTTCAACGAGAACAAGAAGCCCGGCCCCTCGTCGGAGCAGAACTACGGCCTCTTCTACCCGAACGAGGAAAAGGTCTACGACATACCCTTCACCGTGGAGGGGCTCAAGAACTACCACGACAGCGGGAAGTCGACCCCGGTCAGCGGCGGGCAGAGGACGGTGACGGCGCCGGCGAACGGCGGAGGGGGGGTGTCGAAGAGCTCGTCGGGCGCTAACACCTGGTGCGTGGCGAGCAGCGAGGCCGGGAAGGCGAAGCTGCAGGCGGCGCTGGACTTCGCGTGCGGGGAAGGAGGTGCGGACTGCCGCGCCATCCAGCCGGGCTCCCCGTGCTACAACCCGAACACGGTGGAGGCGCACGCGTCGTACGCCTTCAACAGCTACTACCAGAAGAAGGGTCGGGCCTTCTGGACCTGCGACTTCGGCGGGGCCGCCTCCATCGTATCCCAGCCACCGAGTACGTAACCTATCCACCCACTATACGTATATTTGCACCGTATCCCAACCCTCCATGATTGATTGAGAGAACACATGGTGAAAGTAAAGTCCAAAGGGTGGTGGAGTCCAGGTCATGAGGAAAAAAGGGTCAAAAATGGTCAGAGCAAACCACGTGAATGTGTGTCTGAGAAAATTTAATCGTTCTTTTCTAATTTCTCCGCTACTGCAATTTTTTTTAACTGGTCTAGATTGGAAGATTTGGAAAATAATCATAACATAATTTTCTCCTCTTTGCATTTTTTTTCTTTGTTTTTGTTTGCAGAGTTTGGGCAATGCGAGTTCCCCACGGGATACTGAAAAGCTGAATGATGGATGGTCATGATGAGAGATCAAGGGGGGCTAAGGGGGGGATTGAAATTATTGTTTTTTAGCTTTTTCGGGGGTTGAAATGTAGAATTCTACATTTTTTGGGTGGGTCCGTGTAGCTTTTGTATTTATTTAAATCTTCCACTACCTGTAGCTTTGTCCATATTGAGAGATTTGACATTTATGTTATGTTTTCCCTTCCACACTTGCTTTTTCCTGCTGCTGCTGCTGCTTGTCCTTGTCCTTGTCGCTAGGGGTGAGCTGGAACATGAAATTTACTATTAGTATAGATTCCTTACTAAACTTATCCGTCGGAACTTGAAACCTAATAACATTAACAAGTCATAAAATAAAAGCTCAGACTAGTGGTTTCAGATTATACACTCATCATTTAATGTCATGAAACACAACAGGATTACGTGAAGACATAGACTAAGAAAAAACACAAAAAACTTATTTAGGTTTCAAGTTTCAGATTTCAGGTTCCACCTATCTAGAACTTGGAACCTACCCGTCGAAACAGGTTCTTCAATTTTCTGAACCTGAAACCTACATATTCTCATCGGTTAGGTTCTCAGGTTCCGAGGTAAAATCTGGAACCATGCTCACCCCTACTTGTCCCCCTCTCTTTTGACCCGTTTTGTCCACATTCGATTTGTTCTTCTTCACGGTTCTTCCATCGAATCTGTGAAAAAGGGCCCGTGACGTTTGCCCGAGTTCATCCCTTCAGACCAAACCCGATAAAAACCCAAAACAACAGGAAGAAGAGATCGCGTGTAAGGTCGAAAAATGAAGAAATGTGTGAACTGCTTCACTCCAGAGAACCACATTTATGTGGAGCTGGTCCGCCCCGTACGATGAGCCAGTGAATCATGATCCACGTGATGGTCGCTAAATTGGGTTGGGCTCGCAATAGCAGAGATCGCATGTAAGGTCGAAAAATGAAGAAATGTGTGAACTGCTTCACTCCAGAGAACCAACATTTATGTGGAGCTGGTCCGACCAGTACGATGAGCCAGTGGATCATGATCCACGTGAAGGTCGCTAAATTAGGTTGGGCTCGCAATAGCAGCAGCAGCAGCAGCAGCCATCTGTTGTCGTTGACGGCTCGGAAACCACGAGTGGCACTCCGTCCTTTTTCTTCCCTTTGTTTATATATATTGCTTAAACACGAGGAGGAAAGTTGCGACCATGTTGGCCCATGTGCCTCCCCCACCTTTACACACTTTTGCTCACGCTACTGGTAACATTACTCATCTTCTCTAGCCGTTGTCGCGATATTACTGCTTCGAATCTTTCCGGCTCCGTGTTTACGGAGTTTGTGACTTTGTAGATGTCCGAGCCTTACTTTGTTTTTCGTTTGTTACAAAAAAGGGTGGGAAAGAGTGGCCGTTATCGATGACTTTGATATGTTTTGTAGATTTTGGACGCCCACTAAACATTTGATACTAAAACTTCACTTTGTTAAGCTTAGAATACCCAATTTACGATGTGAAATTAGGCTTCACATGCGGACAATGATGGCTTACGAGGTAAGTTTACAACACTGGGTGTACAAAACGAGGTTGAGGAACTCGTCGAGTTAAAGATAATCTCGAAAGTCCTTAACTCTCAAGTGGCTCACAAGCTGTACTTCGTGATTATATAGTGTCTATTTCCAAGACAAACATAATTCCATCACACGAAATAGGTATGTGGCACTATCGATTTCTTTCTACTTGGGAAATAAAAAATCCGAGTGTCAAATTATTTTATTTTTCGTTAACAGGAAAGAGTCGAGTTGAAGCTTTAAAACATGTATCAGGTCGGCACAAGTTTGAGATATGCAATGTGAACTGATTCGAGCTATAAGTTTAAATATCAAACCTCGAATTTTTTAATCGAGCTCGAATGGAAAATTTATGTTTTGCTTGAATCAAAGCTCGAACGAAATACTACTCCGCATCATTGACCCCCGCTAAGAAAAGAGTTTCTTAGGCCTGTTCCCGTACGCGGTCGAAACGAGCTCGTCGTCGCCGACCACCACCACCGGATGCAAGTTGGGATGAAACCGGAATCACCCTAGCTGGTCAAAAAAATATGGGACGGGCAGAAAACAAAGGAAAAGATAAAACGAAAGAGGCGGGCAGGCACACCGCCGCACGCCGCACGCACACTAGGCGGAGACATGACGGGGTGGTCCTCCACCATCTCGGCATCTCGTATGTGCTTGGGGGGAAGAGAGGTGCAGTGAGAGAGAGAGAGAGATTCGTCCTGCCTCCCCTTGATTAATTGGCTTTCTTACTTACTGCCAATATATAAAACCCGCATCACATGGGGTGAATCATTGCTCTTCAAGACTCTTGTCCGCATCCTTTTCCCTTTTTCCCCTCACTACTACTAAAAGATATAATGGATCCCGCGCGTTCCCACTCGTTTCGCGCTTCCCACTACCACCCCCCCTTGATCCGACACCGTATATGGACGTATCCTGTGCTCGTATTCCATTACGAAAAGAGAAATTTTAGAGATACAGAGAGAGGCGTTTCGAGAAATGGGCTCACGACACGACAATTATGTGCACAGGTGACAGAGGGCATGCAGTGGATTGTGTCCCAGGCGGTCACTGCGAGGCCCTCTCTCTGTCGACATCAGAGCCCCCCCTTTTTTAACGTCAATGCCTTGATAGCCTAAGCTTTTGCGTTATAGTTAGCTCATTTGCTGATTCCTGGCCCTAAACAGCTTGCTGAGTCGTAACCCTACCCTTCAATAATTGATCCGCAGCATTCAGCGATTCACGCGCTTCTTTGCTTTTTGGTGAATTGAAAAGATGGACGTCTCGAAATATAATCCTCGTCATCGACGAGCTCTCTCGGGATTCACCTGTCGTTCTTCCCTTCCGCATTTCGAGCACCAAAGTGCATTTGTCCCCTCTATTAATTGCTCCCCCTTAAATCTGTATGTGAACATATCAACATCAAGGTTGTGGAATCAACCTTAATGCTTGGAAATCAAATCAGTGCAAGTGCAGCGCAGCGGAAATTCGCGGTGGAGCAGTAGTTCGCTCTCCATGTATATTCAATCAATGACACTTCACCATTTACTCTTATACCTAGTCTAAGGGCGCGGAAAACATGTAAACCCAAATGCATGAGGACTACATGGAAATGAATGCAGTATAATTACGAATTGTCATTTCAACATATTGCTGAAGCACTTGGGAAAATTACATTCGCAAAAGGAGATTCCCCTCAAATTGCGCCTAGACATGTGTGATCCCAGTAACTTTACAACCCGCAAAATTCATTTGACCAAAATCCTAACACTAAAAAAGTGCTCCACTTCCCAGCTGCCAGGCCTCTAATATAACAATGGGCGAAAAACAGCTGACGACAGAAAGCAGACGCGGTAATTTTGGCCGTCGGTTCATACACACGTTTTACGCGAATTGGCACCTTATTCTTCTTGCTAATTAAATGAACTAGAGGACCGATGAACGAATCCGAAGAGCCCCCCATAGAAGTCTCTGTCCTTCTTATTAATAGCTGCACGAGAGGAAAAACAAATAAGCACTATTCCTTAGCCGCGGCAAAGCAGTCAGGAAACTCATCAACCCTTTCCTACTAATTTTAAAGCAAGACGATCGATCTGCGTCCACCGCTGGAAAGCAAAATATCTGCTTAATACTGCGAGCAGATCCTCTTTGAGAATGAAAATGTCAATGGTGCATTCTTCAAGCTAGAAATATCAAATAACTCCATGAACCTTTGATCTGATACTCTTGCTTTCGCTGCTGCGAATCGCTGATACTCGTCGAATATGGATGAAAGGCACCATCTCTGCAATTTCCTCAAGCAGCCCACCAGACAGCCCGTGCGGTGCTGCACATAGGAGGGAAAACACCAAAAGTCAAAACCATTTTAAAGCAACGCTTGGTTTAAACTGCAGCATTAACTAGCTATATGGATGAAGCAACATACCTTTCCTCTCTTACAGTGAATTAGAACAGGATGGTTCCTTACATCTTCATTAAAAAATGGACAAGAAGAAACATTAAGATCCTCAAACAAAGTTTGATTACTGCATCCAGGTAAATATAGGATGAGAGTGAATCATTGTCATACCAAGTAGAACCTTCAATGCCTCACGAACTGTCTCCTCTGGAATATATACAAAAGGTTCCTGAAACCACACCCATGGTGATCGTTTTTGAATTCTCAACATCAAACGGATCTATCTTCTTTCACAGTCATTATTACTCTAGTCTCTAGTGTAGCTAGTGATAAAAGATAAGGTCAGCGAAAAATAAGATACGAACCACTAAACAATAACAAATATCATGAATGCACACATTTAACCCTGAAGGCAACGCAGAAAAGATAAATTACTTAGACAGAACCACTCAAATGGACCACCTACGCTAGTGCTTGCATACGAAAATAAATCCAGAGAAAAATAATTAAAAAAACCAGCTTGAGTTCTCATCTTTTAATCCAATTGCTTAGGCTTGTCAAACAATAGAAACCAATAGCAACAACGTTGGGGTTTGTCAGTTTATTAGCTTGTAAACCATTGAGAGAAGTTCTAAACCAAGTAAAATATGGAGATTTTATTCCAATTTTTGGCCCAGGAACATGTATTATTGTTTAGCTACAAGGAAAAGTTTACCGGCCAGAATCTTCTATAATTTAACTTCATGTGTAGCTTGCATTTTCATGTTAAGAAGGCTGAAAAAAGTAACCAACTTGTCCTCACAGAATGCTAAGTTCTAGATGCAAATCTAGTGATCTGTATTCTTTCACTCATCATGCTCGAGTCAACATCCTAGGATTGCAAGTTTGGTATTTAGTAGCTTTCACTTGGAAATCTTCACAAATCAACGTTCCGCAGTGATGAAAACTTAAGAAACATAGACAACAGCAAGTTTATGCATTCTCTGAGTTCTTTTTGCAAACTCTCTCTCTCTCTCTCTCTCTCTCTCTCTCTCTCTCTCTCTCTCTCTCTCTCTCTCTCTCTCTCTCTCTCTCTCTCTCTACATATATATGTGTGTATAACATATATATCTGTGTGTGTCCTCAAAAAAGCAATAGTAGAAAGAGGAAGGCCCTCAATAAGATTACTCATTGAGCAAGAATCAATATCGTCAAAGAAAATTCAAATTTTTATAACCAAACTGTTGATTCCAAAGTGTATTCAATCTGAGCTCCTTTGGGTTACTTTATTGGAAAACTTAGATTTAAATGAGGAGGGACGTTTCAATTTCAGGATGTCTTAAGATAAGGCCCAATGACCAGAGAGAAAAAAATGCATGGAAGAGGCTTTCCAACGTTTTTTGGGGGTAGAAAGTAAAGATACTGAAGAAGATGTACCCATGGGATGAGTAAAAGAGTCATCTAAAAACTCATCAAAAGACGCAAGTTGTCAAACCAGTGAGGTGTGGACCAAACAACCGAGTAATTAGTAGTCCCTTCTTGAAGATTTCTAAAATACAATATTCAGTTGTCCTTGACATCATTTCCGGAACTATTTTACCATGCTTGTAATTTTCGCTTGTTTCATGGTTTTGCCTTTTCTTTCCGGTGCACAGGACAAAGATACACCGAGTGCTCATCACATGACTTCAAAACCAAATCAGTTTTACAACGCATGAGATACCCAAAAATCATGTCGAACATCATCAAAACCCAACCCTCCCAAACAGCCAGATTTACCACGTATCTGAGCTTTACCAACAAAAGTCAGATCCGTGCACAGTAAATTGCTTATACCGCTGAACAAGGATATCTACAAAGAAAAATGATATACTCTCCGACTTCATCGTCCGAAAAGACTCCCACTACCGACATGATATTACAACACTGCCATTGTTGTCGGATCAAATTTTCGGCCAACTTTTTGGATTCCCTATCTACCAAAAAAAAAAAACATGAACGCATGTGACACTCATAACTCGGGTGTGAGCAATGAGCATTCTTCTGGGATTCTCGAGAAAGGGCTCTTATCTCTCCCCACACTTTGAATATGCACGTAGAGAACCTACTCAAAATGATGCTCAATCAACTAACAAGATACCATTTTGGTACACCAATTGCTCATGCAATTCAATACACCCCAGACCCCAGTGGCAGTTATCCTCCATCTGTCCCTACTTTCTGGATCCTTGGCCCCCCCATGCTCCACTCAAACCACCGAGCAAACATGATCGGTGCAAGAACAAATTAGAGCCATAACAGCGAGATGATGCGAATTCCTAAACACCCTCTAACGTCGCACCCGTACCGTGGCTAGAATAAATGAAATCACATCAACTCCTCGAGGATGGCTTATGGAGAGGTTAACGCAGCCAAAGCTCGCGATGAATGCCGTTCTAAAAGTAGGGGGACAAGGCAATCATGCACAATAAAGAAGACGGAAGCCGAGGAATAAAGAAACGAGGAAAAAGCAACAGCGACGTCAAAAGTAGCGGAAAAGGCGTAACCCGAGGAACAGAATATTCACCTTATATCCCTCGATTCCGAATTGGAAAAGCTTGATCCCGTTGGACTTGAGGAACTCCATGTTCGCCTCCGGATAAGGCTCCGGGCACAAGCATCTGCTCCGTCGTCCACGGCAGATCGATCCGGCGCGCCAAGACAAAAAAAAATGGGGTGGACGGAATTCAACACGTACGGTAAGCGGCGGAAATGGATTGGGAAAAGAGAAAAAAAAAAAAAGAGGGAAGGAAGAAAATGCGCGCAAAAAAAAAAAAAGAAAAAAAAAATCTCGCGCGCGCGCGCGCACGGCACTTACATGATGGAGCGGAGGCCTAGGGTTTGGAGGAAGGAGAAGTTGGCGGAGTCGGGGAAGCCGGAGCGGAAGATGCCATTGTCTACCATCGCGAAGTTGAGCGGGGGCGTGAAGTGGAGCTCCTCCCCCGCCCCCGCCCCCGCCGGGGGCGAGGAGACGGCCACCTCGATCGTCTTGCACATGGCGGCGTCGGCGTCGGCGTCGGCGTCGGCGGCGGCGGCGGCGGCGCCCCCTCGCTCGGCCGCCCGGTCCACCTTCATGAGTTCGGATTTCTCTTCTCGAGATGAGGGCGGGCGGCTCCGGGGGGATCGGAGAGGATGTTCGTTCTTTCACCTTTCGACGGTTACGGAAAGAGGAGAAGGCTAAGGCTAAAACCTAGAGAGAGAGAGAGAGAGGGAGAGAGAGAGAGGTGGTTTTGGTGGTTAAAGAGGTAACTATTTATAGAGAGAGAGAGAGAGAGAGACGGCGGTTTTCCGGAAAGGGGGGCGGTGGGAGTCGCCGTTGCGAAACTTCACGGAACGGAAGTCAAAATTTTGACGTGAGATTGGGAAAACTCGTTTCTTCTTTTTCTCGTTATTTCGAAGGAAAAAAAAAATACTGTACGAATTTTGGCGTGACGAAATTCATTTTTAAAAATAATAATAATAATAATAATAACGAGAGAACGCCGTAAAGGGCAAGGCTATCTATATTACTTGAACTCGAATTGCGAGACAACGTACGGAAGTAGAGATGTTTTGTATTTGTATGAGTGGGACTGTGCAAAGCGTACACCAACCACGTCTGAGATCGTTGTGTATATATACGACGGCTCTTGATCGGTTTTAAACGCCTCGTGGTAGGGTGTATGGATCCGACGTGGAGCTCGCGGCCCCCGGCAAATCGAATGCTCGTCGCCGCGAGAGAAGGGCTGATGCCGGGTCGTATTGGCGAGTAGTTCGGAACCGGCTCGATGATTTACTCGACAGATCGTATGACTCGAGTATGCCCGTCGAGTTTGGGCTCAAACTCGGCGTTACCCGGCTCGACAGCCTTGTAGATTCGATGGAAATTACAATTCAGAAGGATTATGCAAGGGGGGCGAAGGGCAGCCATTGGCGCAAATTTCGCCCGCCTCCGATACCCTAATTCTTGTTCACCCCGGATGATCGTGTTGGGTGAATTATGACCACGTACAATCGCGTCGAGCGAGCAACAGCCGCTTCGTTGCACTACTTACTTATGGGCTAATGGGTCACACTTTGGCCAAGTATCCTTCTGTTTAACTAAAAAAGAAAACTAAAAAGCTACGAGTGAACACGAAAAATTTCAAGTTGCATGTGTACCTGTATACGTATAAATGCAGGGAAAAACAAATTTTCAAGCTTATCGAGCTCGAATCCAAGTTCAAGCTATTTCATGGCTTGATTAATTGTAGTCTAATCAATGAAAGCTCGAACCTCGAGTATCTAACTCATTTAAAATTAGAAACAAAAAAGTTTTAATACTCGACCGAGTTCAAATTAAACTCGAAATGCGGAGTACGTACGTGAGCCGAGTCGAGCTCCAACTCGGTTCTGGATCCGCCGGGCTCGAGCTGGCGAGCAATCATGCCGAGCCGTGCCTACTCAGACACCGTCGCCCGGGGACAAGCACAGCCATCACGGACAGGAACCCCATAGCTAACGAACGTAGCAACGGGGCTGCATCGAACCCCCATATGTCTCCCTTCAAAAAGTACGGCGTGACGACGGACGAACAAAAGAGAAGAGAAAAGGGGCCAGTGATGCTACTTTGACAAAGAGCTTGTTTCATGAGTGCCTTCAGCTTCAGGGCACTTATTGAAACGCCCACCAAGAAAAAAAAATTAATAATCTTTTGTAATCGATTGGTACAAAATACCAAAAATAAAGAGAAAAAATAGAAAGAAGAAAGGAAGAAATGGGTACGATAATTGATGTTAAAAAAGGAGAAATCGGTGGGGAGGAAGGGCACATTCGAAAGGAATATGCGGATGGGGTTGCAATTTGTTGGGTTGCGCTGCCGCTGGCGCTGCGAGGCCCGGCCGCCACGTACTTTGAATAGACGAAAAGGGTTCCACGCCACAAAAGTGTACAAAAGAGAAAGAAGGGGGGGACGCACTTTTGACGCATTATGGAAGCCGGATCTCGTTTCGCCTCTCCCTCTCGGTGGACACCGATCCTTTTGGCTCCTTCTCGTGAAGTTCATCCCGGGGGGGGGGGGGGGGCCCCCTATTTGCGCTGTAAAACAATGAATGAAATCGTCTTCGGTGCGCTTTCGGTTTGCTCTCCTAGCCTACTCGGGCCTTTGGGGGTGTCCATTCAACTTGGGTGCTTTTTGAAAGAGATAAAGAGGGAAGGAGGATCGTGGGCGTGCGATGTCGTGGGATTCGGGTCGGGTCGGGTCGTTCGGCCTCTTGTGACCATCGCCCGAATCCGTATGGGATTAGGCTCTCCCGAAAGGAGTGTTCGGGTATCGCCACCCACTCGAGTGGATAGCGCTTATGAATGAAGTCTCGCGGACGCGTCCTCTCTCATTCGATACTGGGCAAGTAGTGTAAGGATCCGGTCCGACGAGGACGAGGAGCGGTCGACGGGTCGGAGAGCCTGGACAAAGAGGGGCTCCCTTCAGGCTTCTAGGATGACGAATGGGACAGGAATAAATCGAATTGTGCATCGAAAAGTGGGAGAGTGATTATGAGAAGGCGCCTTTTGACGTAACGATAATTTTTAACTTTGAAAATCCACAATTAAGCGCGATCGGGTAGGAGCACTCTCAAGTTGGATGACCTCCTGAGAAGGTGCTCACCTGTACGTAGTATAAAACGAGTGTTTACACCAAAAAATGGCCAACTTGTCGACATGGGAAATACATGACAAAGGCATGAATTACGCATCCCGTCGTCAACGATTATAGAAAGTGATATTCATTTAGTGCATTGATGATGGTTCAGTCGTGATCGATGAGTGTTTGTATAAAAGATCATCAAGGGACATATGATAGAGACATGAGGCAATGTGGAAGCAAAAATCAAGTTGCCAACATAAGGGACTGTTTCACCAGAAAATGCTCCCGCGGCGAAATATAATTCACCGAAAGTCGTTCTTCGGTTCCTAATGTGAGGAGACCGGGTTCCGTGGCGACTCCGGACAGGAAATATCCAGGGAGACAAGGAAAAACGGCGAACTTTTACTCCGAACTTCGAACCGGACTATATGTACAAACCGTGCCGGAATTTAATCGACGACGAAGCTTGAAAATACAGCCGCACACGTACACAAAGATGTAACGCCGGAATTTAATCGACGACGCAACACTCAGGATAGAGATACACGCCGGAATTTAATCGACGACGCAAATCGGAAAGCTACAGTTAAGGAAAAATAAAGTGCGGTACATGAAAGTAAAGATAATTGAAAGATAACATGTTGTTTGATTTTGTCGAGTTCCTCTCTCCGGTAGATGGCCGGTGATATTTATAATGGTCGTGTGGTAACTGCTCCTTAGCAGTTTTCAACAATTGTGCCCATGTTCTTTCATTCCGAAAATCTTGTCTTCATGTCCATGTGATGCCATGATTCTGCTTTCAAGATAACTGTCTCACGATCTTGTCCACAAGTGATAACTTCCTCATAATCATGGTTCCAAGTAATTGTTCTCTCAAAATACGCATGTATGCTCCTTAGTGGTTTCCAACGGTTACGTTGAATCCACTACCTTGACGGTTTTTTTTTTTTACTCCACTATGTTGACGGTTACTTCTTCTTTCTGCATCTCCAACCAGTCACAACAGTCGACTTCCTCTTAATGTCGAAAAATCTACAGTGATTTTCTGAGTAAACTCGAAACATAAAAGTTGTAGATCCAGGAGTCTTCGTTCTTTTGGCTTTGGAATCAGGTCAATCCGATCTGTCTCGAAGAAGTTATGACCATTTTCCCGAACTAGCGCAGAACTGCAATTTCGTCGAAGTCATCGACAAGATGAAGTCACGACCGTCGACTTCCTCTTAATGTCGAAAACTCTACAGTGATTTTCTAAGTAAACTCAAAACATAAAAGTTGTAGATCCATGAGTCTTCGTTCTTTTGGCTTTGGAATCAGGTCAATCCGATCTGTCTCGAAGAAGTTATGACCATTTTCCCGAACTAGCGCAGAACTGCAATTTCGTCGAAGTCATCGACAAGATGAAGTCACGACCGTCGACTTCCTCTTAATGTCGAAACTCTACAGTGATTTTCTGAGTACATAAAAGTTGTAGATCCATGAGTCTTCGTTCTTTTGGCTTTGGAATCAGGTCAATCCGATCTGTCTCGAAGAAGTTATGACCATTTTCCCGAACTAGCGCAGAACAGCAATTTCGTCGAAGTCATCGACAAGATGAAGTCATGACCAGTCTTGTCAATAATACCCAAAAATTGGTCATTTTTGGGTGTAAATATATACACATGACACATGTTAGAGACATGTGTCCCTTATGTTGGCAACTTGATGATATTTGCTTCCACGTTACCTCAAGTCTCCGCCATTTGTCCCTTGATGATCTTTGGCACAAACGAACCATGTCGACAAGTTGGCCATTTTTTTGTGTAAACAGGGACACATGTCAGAGGCACGTGTTATGTGTATATGTTTACACCCAAAAATGACCCATTTTTTGTTATTATCGACAAGATAGGAAAAACGAGCAGAAATTTCAGTTCTATACCAGTTTGAGAAAATGGTCATAACTTTATTGATACATATCGGATTGACCTGATTCCAAAGCCAAAAGAACGAAGACTCATGGATCTACAACTTTTATGTTTTGAGTTTCCTCAGAAAATCACTGTAGAGTTGTCGATTTTGGAAGGAAGTAGACGGTCGTGACTAGCCAGGATGAGAAAAAGGATAGACACTTCAGTGAAGAATTGTGAACTTGAAGGAATCGACAAAAAGTGGAGTCGACAATCTCGGATACAACTGTCGAAGAAGTAACTGTCAACATAGTGGAGTCGAAGCAACCGCCAAAGTAGTGGAGTCGAATAAACCGTCAAGGTAGTGGACTCAACGCAATTGTTGGAAACCGCTAAAGAGCATGCATGTGTTTTTTGAGGGAACAGTTACTTGGAAGCATGATCATGAGGCAGTTATCACTTGTAGACAAGATTGTAGAAAAATTATCTTGAAAGCAGGATCATGACATCACATGAAGACAAGATTTTCGGAATGGAAGAACATTGGTACAACCGTTGGAAACCGCTAAGGAGTAGTTACCACACAACCATTATAAATATCACCGGCCATCTACTGGAGACCCTCCTTCTGAC